AATGAGTGTTTGTAGTGTTTATTATATTATTTTATGTATTATACTGTAATGTTTATATTACCAAACTATAGTATGTTAGATTATATCAAATTTAGTTTTAATAAGTCCGTTACTTTTTTTCAGATTTTTAAGATGTTGAAATTGAACCCAAAATATACTTACTTTTCCACCATTAGGAGTGGCATTTTTTCATTTAAACCATTTATTTTTGCTACACAAGATACAAAAAACATATACGGATACCAGGGATGATAAAACATTTAGGCGTAATGTATAAAGGCTACCAGGTCAGTTCACGCTGTCCGAGTACATAGCACATTGGGTTTCTGGTGGCCCCTGCCAACAGTTAGAAATTAAGAAACGCACACAGATAGATCGACATTAAAAAAAGTAATAAGAATGTATAACACGATTTGTACCTTCGACTAGAACAAAACAAAAAAGTATTTATTTCTTCACATTTGAATGGATCGGATCCAAAGGGGAAATGTAGGGTACATTTCCCCTCCCCTCCAAATAAAAAAAGAGTTTTCCAAATCAGTTTACAAAGGAAAGAGTTTAAAGGTAACAAACTATGAAAATAATTGCGTAAAAATCTCATTTATTAGATTCTTGTGCACATATCTCTATAACCCAACACAAACACCTAACAAACATCTTGAAAGAATAACAAAAGGTCAACATATGATCATATTATTGACAGAGTTATCTTCTAACTCCTAAAGGTCCAGCAACATAACGACTACTAAACGCAAATACCTGTATAGCTAGAGAAAAAAAGAGGGTTTTCTTCTATTTCTTTGGGATCCTATCGTCAGATCCTGATTTGGTGGTAATGGGGCCGAAGGAGCATATTCTTTCGATTACAAAAATAAGTTTTAAAATCGGTCCACAATTGACGAATATCAACAAACATACAGAAACAAAAAAAAAATACAGACGAATTGAGAACCTCCTCTTTTGTGTTTTCGAAGTAGGTTAAAAACGAATGGCCTTCTGAACTTAAATAAGTATGTAGGTCTTTTATAGGGCGAGCCGTGGCGGTCATTTTAATGATGTTGTGTTTAATTTTTAAGACAATAGGCCGATCTTATTAAGAAATACATACTTTTGAAGATATTATTACTTACTTTTTATAGCCTATTCATTCTAAAACAGACGGTCTTATTTCACAAGCTAAGTATATGAATTAAAAAATAATAATTAAGTGTTAATATTTTTATTCAACACTCAGACGCAAACTAGTTCTATGAAAATAGTGATTAACAGTGTTAATTATTTTTTATATACTTAGTTTGCGTTTGAGTGACAAACTTTTATGTCTAACAAAAACAAGAAAATGAAGACCACATCTCTGGTTGTCTAGTAGTCTCTAGTTTACTAGTTGCAACGATAAATTGGAACAGGTAATCTTTTCTTATAACCTTTTTGTTTCACCATCTGCGGATCTGTCTTAGGAACAACGGGAATAAAGAGATACAGTAAACAATGGGTACTAAGTAGTAAATGAGACGAATAGAAAGTGAGTAGATATGTTGGAATGTAAATCGCGTTAAAAAATAAAATAACAGTACATAATCTTATATAATTTATATCATATTAATTATTATATACAGCATGTCCCTCTTATTGCTACTTAAGAAAATATCTTCATATACAATATTGTATACATGAATGATGTTATGTAAATAAACACTAGAAATGTACAAAATTATGCTTACTAGGAATTGGCATTTTGCGCTGAAGTTTTAATTTAACCGAGTCAGTCAACAATTAGTCTATTATTTACAAAAAAAATATACTGCAACAACTGTTATTCATCTTGTTCATCATCTGAATTGTAACCCATACCAACATTTTCGTCAGGTGGATAATCACTGTTTTCATTTAATTCTATTCGAGGTTTTTTCACTAATAATCCCTGTTTTTGTAACTTTTCTATTGCTTCTAAAGTAGTCTGTTTCTTTGAACTTGATTCATTTTCTTGACTTTGTTTGACTAAAGCACTCTTTACTTTAATGCTAGCTGAATTATTAAATCTACTTAACTGATGCACAGTCGACATTTCAGATTTTACTTGTGATGCTGTAACTATCGAATTACCTTTAACGACTTTAGACGTGCTCATGTAACTAGAACTAGTTTGCGAGGCCGCTTTGACTTGAACCGTGGTATCACCGCCACCACCAAAATCTGGTATATCTGATACCGGGATTAGCGACTCCTTCGGTTTTTTAAAACAACTGAAAGGTCCACTTACTTCGTCAGTATTTGGGCGTTTGGCAAGTGCCGACGTCATGACAGAGGGCGAAAATTTTAAGGGCTTTCCTATCACTGGTTTGTTTGGACTAGATTTGGGCAAGTTAGTTTTGGAATTTGACATTCTTGGAGTGCTAGGTCTTGTTACACTTGAACTAGCCCTCATAGGAACGATTTGTTTGGATGGTCTCACGACATTAGCGACAGGCCTAACTTGAGCCACATTGTTATTTGGCCGGACTGCTGTAGGACAAGCTTGGCGAATGACCATGCCTTGAAGGTTTTTTGATGTATTTGGTCGTATACCCTGCACCTTTTGTGGCCTTACTGGTATGCTCATCTGGCTAGAGTTTTTCGTTTCTTGTTTCACAGTTTGGTTAACTGTTTTTATAGTTTTTGTCACAGTTGTCGTGATTTCTTGTATTACTGTCTTTGTTTGAAATGTTTTTACAGTCACTTCCTTATTTACAGATACTTTTTGATTTAAAGATTCATTAGAGGCATGGTCAACCAAATCAGCAACATTTTTCAAACTCCTAGATGTAGAGGTCTCATCATCAAAAGATTCATTTACTAAATGTTTAGTTGATTTAGTAATTGAGGGTTTTGTTTGGTTCTTGGCCGATTCTACAGTTTCTTGATGAAATATTGGTTTAGCTTTCTCTTGCTTGTCAGAGTTTATGTTTAATGATTTGATTGTTAAATTTTTGCTTATATTTTTCAAGTTATTTAGGCATATGCTATTTTTATTGGTTGTGACCTCTTGGTTTGTTTTCATTACTGCACTAGCACTTATTTCGGCCTCAAAATCTAACAATTTGTTATCTACTTCATCATTTTCACTATCAGAATCATGTGGGGACTCGACTATTGGTTGATTATCACTATGTTCTAAATTACGATCATTCGAATCTTCATCATTAGAAATGTTACCCTCAAGCTCAGTTATCTTAACTTTCTCAAGATCCGAATCCAAGACATCATCAGGTTCATTTACATCTATATTGGAATCCTGTGAGTAATTGTCTTGAGATTTAATAGAATGACACGGCGAAGAGGTCCCAGATTTTACTGTTATATTTTTACCCAAATTTTTTAGTGCATATTGTAATGCAATATTTCTACTTGACAACTTTTGACTACATACTTTCGCATTTGTAGGTATATCAGAATCACACCTGACTGCGTCGTTTTCAAGATCTTCATCGTCAGTTTGTTCGTCTTGATTTTCAACTTTTATATGCTTTGGAACAGCCTGCACTGGCTGGTTAATTGATTTCACAGTAATATGTCTACTCAGATTTCTTAAAGGATCTGTGGATGTCGTCGTATCTTGCTTCGGTTCAGATTTGATACTATAGGCTGTTTCATCATCGGAATCATCAATATCAGAAATTTCTATGATCTCCTGATCCTTTTGAATTTTCATAGTTGAATTAGTTTGTTTAACAACTTGAGATACTACATTCTTCTGAGGTGGTATAACTTTAGTTGTAATATTAGAAAGATGTTTTGTACTTTGTTTATTTGTTTTTGAGAGACTATGCATAGTACCTTCAATATTTTTTGGCTGGTTATTTACCATATTAATCACTTTAGCAACGGGTGCCGACTCATTGGTTTCGATTTTAATTTTCTTTATTGTAACATTTTTATTTCCACTGACATTTTTTAATTTCATACTGTTTCTCTCTGCTTTCATTAACGCTTTGTCTGCTTCTTTGTCGGCTTCAGATCCACTGTCAACGCTTCTATTTGCAGATACTGGTAAAGACTTAATAGTTATATTTTTACTTAAAATTTTCAAAGCATCTAAAGTAGGATCTTTTTCTATAGTGGGTTTAGGTTTAAGCGCTGTAATCTCGTTATCAGTATTACCAATAAAGCGGGTTTGTTCTTTGTCAATCTTTGCTACAGTTTTATCGTTGTTTTTAGGATCAGAAATTTCCATATCTAAATTAGGGACTTTATTTATTTGATTAATAGGTTTTACTGTAAGGTGACCCAAATGTTTTAAGGTTGATAAAGAACTAACGGAAGATATTTTATTAAGTTCATCTCTATTTTTATTACTGGTATCCTCAATTTCGTTAATACATTCGTTGTTCCCTTCAATGCCTTCAGTTCCATTATTTCCATCACACATTTCCGAGTCAGATTCGCCATCGTCTGATTGGTCTTGGTTCAATTGCTTATTGAAGGTAGTATTTAATGATTCTAGTGATTCTTTTTGCCCACCTAACTTTTGCAAATTACCAACACTAATTTTCTCTAAATTAACACTTTTAGTTACAGTATCATTTGATTCTTTGGCAATGATATTGTTGGTATCATGCTCTCCATTCGATGGCCTAGTACTTTTATTAATAGCAATTCCAGAACCTGTGCTTGGCAATGAAATGTCTTTTGCTTTTGAAAATGATACATCCTTACTGTTAGTTATAGGCGAAATTGGGTGTCTAGCATAATTAATTTCAGCTTCGGCTTCAACAATATTTCTGTCTTCCGTTTCTTCTTCACTTATATTCTTTGTTACTGTATCATTTTCAATTTGATTAGATTTGTCATTCTCAATAAATGTTGTTGTCACATCTTGCTCTGTCTCATTTTTAATTATAACCGGTACTGACTTTTTCACGATTTTTATCTGATTATTACTTTGGTTCATTAATTTTGTCAACACTTCACTAGAAGTTTTTAATTCCCTATTGGGAGTAGAATTTTTTGCAAGCTTTTTTTGAGCAGCCTTAGAGGGTTTTGATGCACCTACTTTCACAACGACAATACCTTTTTGTTTTAATTTTTCCAATTCTGCTGATGCTACTGTATTCACAGATTTTTTATTTTTTACTCGTTTTTTAACAATGCGTGTTGGTAGTTCTTCGACACCCTGAAAATCTAGATCTTCACCGAAAACATCTTGATTCATGCTTAAAAACTCATCGAGTGTTATGGCAGCTTTTTTAGATTTCTTATGTTTTTTCTTTTTCACTTTTCCAGAATTACTGTCCTCTGGTTGATCCATTGCCAACTCCAAAAACTTTTCCTGTAAATACAAAATTTCAAAGTTAAAGCAAGAAATAAAATAATAATAAACCTCACACATCTCACACAAAGCAGTCTGATACCAAACTAGGCGGCGCCTGTGCGATGATATTCAGACTGCTGATAAACATACTTATATATTTCTAAATACATACAAATTATAGATAAATTACACCCAGACACAAAACAATCAATCGTGCTCATCACACAAATATTTATCCTGGGTGGGAATTGAACCGGCTAAACAGTCAGGGTCACTAACCACTAGACCAACAACTTGTTTAAAAAATGTGTAACAAATTGCTAACACTAATGTTTATTCTTTCTAACAGTTGCTTGCAGAACAAGTCTCACCTCTCAGAGGCCATTCAAGTATTACGTAAGCACTGGAGGGGGATCTGTCCTTGATTTTCTTATTTTTGATGACATCTGGATGGTGATTATGTCAGCATTATTTATTTATTAACTTTTTTGGATTTTTAGCAAAATTTGATAGATTTTGATTGGAACACATTTGGCAACCCTACTTGTCCATGCTAACTTGTTTAAAGCGAAACATATTCAGGGATTCCCGAAAACGTATTGTGGATCTGATAATAATAATTATAGAACAAAATAAATTAACTTTATCATTGATATATTGCGTTCTATTATCAATTAAATGCCATGCCAATTAGCTCAAATAAATAAATATATATTAATAAAATAAAGCATTAAACTTCTCTATAGACTATGTGAGCCTCCTAGCGTTTATACTGGTTACTCCTCAACCTCTCGCTTTGGAGCCCAGGATACGGCGAGTCTTGTTATTACAGTCAAGCGATCGGCATCTGACCTAAATATGATACTAAACGAATTGGATCATGTTTACGCATCTAGATATTATCCCGCAAATGGGATATTGTCATATTTAATAATTGACCTAACTAATACCTACTAATAAAAGGAAAGATGATAGTTATACGATTATTTAATAATTCTTTATAGATTATAAATTCCTTATTACTAGACTTGTAAGTCATGATTCAATAAGGAAATTAGAATAGTTAAAAAATAGGTACTTATATAATAGTTTACGTAAGCACGGCAGGGGGATAAGAGCTTTGCTTGCTTTTGCTACTGATGCATGATTCTGCTTACATAATAGTTGAATGGACCTTCAGCAGTAACTTATTTCAACAATAAATACATTTGAATTTTTGTTTGAGTGATCAAACATACCTTTACTTAAGCTAGTAGTATCGGTTTTCTGAACGCTCAAGAATGTATACATATATTTACTTTTTCTTTTTAAATATTGTGAGTATACCTAGAAACACCCAGACTAGTTTAAATAGACTTATCCATGCATCAAATATTTAGACTGATTAAAAATAATGCAAAATAACAATCTCCCAGATATTGTGTATGGTTTCATGATAGTTTTGTTGAAAGGGAGCCATTAGTGTTAATATTCGATAGAGTAGTGTGTTAAATATATTGAAATATGATACTAACAATCCCCATTGCATTTACATTGGATTCTGTATCTGTATCTTGAGAATGTACTTCTGCTTCACAATTTTCTCTGCTTTCGACTTTTTCCATCATTGGGGGCACAGTTTCCAGTGAAAATTCAAATAAGTCCGCAAATCTGTGAATATGATATAAGTTTAAAACAATGACAAAACTATGTGGGACCCATAGAACTTACTGATACACTCTTCTGTAAGGTAAGAAGGTAATTCATGAATGAATTCTACACAAAATATTAAATTTAGTCACAATAAATTTATTAGATCTACGTACAAATAGAAACTAAAAGTTATGCTTATAATATGCAATATATTGTATGTAAAAAATGGTGATGACAGTAAAAATTTTATGTTGGATTTCATATTGTTTGTGTGTATTGCTTGCAGCAAAAGCCATGTTCAAGTTTCTGTTCACGTAACTAAAGTATCGCACGGGAACAGGCCAGGTACCGCAGACGACTCGGGCGCCGGCGGTCACAGAACCTCTGTCCTCCATAAGTGCAGGCCTGCCACCGTAGCAGAAGCAGGCCGGGGATGCGGCGAGACGCGCGGCAGAACGCGGGCGCCCTTTCGGGAGCACAAAGGGAAAATGGGGATTCCTACACAGCAGGACGCCGTGGATGACTCGAGGTACGTTAGGGTACCAGGGATTTACTTTCTAGGGTACACCTGGTTCCCCAATTACTGGTACCCGAGGCGGCTTGCAGTTTTTGGTCGGTTCGAGTTCAAGAGAGAGAGACATAATCAGTTATGCTTCATATTTTGGTATATGATCATATACTTTCATAACTACTGCACCTGCCATCCATAATTTTCCTAGTTTTTCTACTGGTAGATGGTGTCAATGGTGCGATTTTAACGAACTAGGTTGGAGTGGGCTCTAAGTCTGCTACGATACGGCTGAACTTCGATTTTTAGCCGGTGCGATTGCCATCCGACCTCCACAACCCAAGCACTAGGCGATATCGAAATTGTAACAACTGGGACCGACGGCTTAACGTGCTTTCCGAGGCACGGAGAGGTCTCAATGTGTTAAGAATGGTCACCCATCCAAAGACTGACCTATTTAATGTGTAAGACTGAACTTTTTAATGTGTTAACCTACTCAGTTACCACTTAGGCACAAGGCCCTTTTTAACAGAATTAAGGTTTATTTATAAATTTATATGTATGGTTCATCTGGGATCTTTCACCCACTTGACTAGACAATACTTACAATTCATTTTGGGCACTATATAAGTCTTCTGTTGTATGGAATGTGAGATGTATTTCATAAGCATCTAGATGGTAGAATATTGCTTCACATAAAGGACATCTCAAAACTTCTTCAGGACTCTGGTTCTCATCACTATGATCATCTGTTATGTGTTTCTATAATAAATAAAATACATTAATTTACTACTACCCATACAATTTTTGTTTTTCTTTTATACTAACTAACTAACTAACTATCGATTCATATGCAAGACCTATTCCTCAGCGTTCCATGGATTCACCGTGCGGGTGCTGGGTTCATCGCGTGATAGATGGGGGCAACACATGCAACTGCGACAGCACCTGGGAATTGCGACCCTGGAATAGGTTTAGGGAGTACTCCTTTCGAAGCGTCGGCGCTCACCTCCACTGTCAACTGTGTTACCCCCTCTACCTAACCATATTTAATATGAGCCTAGCAATGCCGCTAATATTGTTTGTTTCCATCCGATGTTTGCCTGTAAAACATGGCTTTGTGTTTTCCAACTTAGAGAATAGATACACCTTCCACATATTCCCACTTAAGTTTAAAAAGCACAAAGTGATTGCAGTGTTGTCAAAGCATAGCAATTACTGCTTTAAAATTATACATTTAAATTTTAAATCTGTTAGAGAATAGCATTACTTTTCTATTCTCAGCTAATGAGATTAACATAGTTATGTACTTACAAATAAATTTACTTTATTTTCATATTCTTCTCCACAAAATGCACAATAGTGAAGCTGTAACACTTCCTGCAAATCAAGCCAAAAGTACAAATTATTTATAAAAAGTTTTGACAGTATCATACATGGAAATATCTCAGAAATTTAAGAAAAATAACTAACCAATGTATTAATACGAAAAGTGTCCTTTGTTCATATTTATAGGAAGTTATTGCAAACAAAACATTGTGAAATTACGAATACGTAAAGTTTGAAACTTAAAATTTTTATACAGTGTGACAAATTTAAAATTATGTGAAAAACAAAACATCAAGCTACACATCTCCTGTCTTTCCCCTGGGATAGGAACTGGCTAGTCGCGGCGTCGATCCAGCGTGACCTGAAATCATATGGTCCAGGTCCTCAGTAGACTTGAGGCCGGCGTTGGGGGTTGTTTTTAAGGAAACACCATATACTCCTGGCACCTAAGTCCCTAACAAGCTAAAGACCTAAAGGAATCCCTTTTTTTATATGGTGGAGAATCCTCAACCATATGAAAGAAAGGCATTTATATTAAACGAAAAAGCTTAATATAGTAACCAAACTAGGCCCTATCTCAGGCAAAGCTAGTGGCTTCTCCCTGCCTATCAGCCTATCCAGATGCCGTGGCCCAATCACATTTTTAGTGCGATCAGGCTGCCATCCTATCCCCTACCACCACCAAGCTTCTGTTCGTTCCGGAACGACAAGGCTTCTGTCTTATGAGGTGCAACCCTTAGACCCAAACCAAGATCATTCAGATGACTCAAGTGACTCAGCGAGCTCCAGCACATCCTGGAAGCCATTCCCCCAGTCAGTACCAGAGTGTTGTCCGCGTAGCAGATGATACTCAATCTTGGGGGAAGACTGGTTCTCAGGACCGCATCATACGCGAGTTTTCACACAAAGGGTCCTAACTGCCTACTGGGTAACCCCGCATCAAGTATTACCTACCTAAATTATAAAAACTCTATCGATAAGTTAAAAACTCTGTGTTAGTAAATAAACTTTTTTTCATTGTTTTTAAATGATATAAATAATCAGTTTGATTTGGTTTAAAACAACATGCACGCAGCCTTCTCACTCCAGGCGTGGATACAAGTGGGTATAGGGGCATGGGGCCTGCTGACAACTGACAATAACTAGACTTTTAAAAGCCCATTTTGACATAGTTTGTGTAATATAACATAATAAAAAAGTATAGGTAGGTATACCTGCATAATTAAGTATTTGTGTTGTAAGTAAGTACTTTCTATTGATATAACTAATTAATTGCCCACAATGAATTGTTAACAGTTCCTTTACTTTTGTAGGTGAGTTTTCAACTGTTTAAAACTATTTATTTGGGGTTTAAAAACATTCTGTTTAAAATGTTTTAAATTGGTTGTTTTACATGTATAAGTGTACATATATATGCACTAAGATGCACTATGCATATATTATACACTAGCTGTGCCTGGTTCAAGTACTAATATTAATTTATAAATAGGTGATATTGGTATTAATTCATTTTTTACATGAATTATTAAAACTATCTTTTACTTTTATTAGTAATAATAATATCATCAAATATATTGTTTTACATTTGATCAGGGCAAGCCTCATTTTAAGAAAATATTACATTATATATGTAAATAGGATTTCCAATTATGTGATGACGGATTTGTATGTTTACTTTACAACATCACTGGATGAATTAAGCCATGAGTATAGAATAGCTCATTTCGAAATCTTACCCAATCTCCAAATATTAGTGGTGTGGGGTTTGTATTTAGAACATGTCTAAAACATACAAAGAATTAAGAATACGGAATGTCACCACCCCTATTCATCCCATAGGTGTCGTAAGAGCCGACTGAGGGAGCAAACTACGCAGGACAACAGCACTGCAAAGAGAAGGCAAACTTGAAACAAACCCTTTATTAACCCGACTGGCCAGCATGGTATAGTAGGCCAAAACCTCCTTTCTAAGGAGAGGCCTAAGTCCGACAGTGGACTGTTATGTGGCTGTTGATGATGAATACATATGTCACTCAGATGGTTTAAGTAGTACATACAAACATTAAAAGACTTTACATACAAATATTGAGGACTTAAATACTATTTAAAAGCAATGACATGTTAATTAGGTGTATTTAAATAAAATAAAAAAAATGCTAAATTACCTGATTGTATAATTTTAATTTCTTAGACACACCAACATCTGGTATGTCCGAGTCTTGCCGATGGAAGAATTTGTTATGGTATAACATAGCTGATGGTAAAAAGAAATCCACATCACAGCAGTCGCAGTGGAAGATCTTACTTTCTATCTGTTCTTGGTTGTCATGAGTACTTTGTATGTGAATATTATAAGGGTGCTGGAAATTTAAGGAAATAAATATAAACAAGGTCACAAATAAAATAAAGAGAAAAGTTATTTAGGATGCTATAGCTGCAGTAGTTATGACTAGAATTTCGAAAATAAAAATACTACTATGTTTTTATTTAGGGGTAATTTATTTAAAGAAGAAAAGGAAGTATCAGATACGGAAATAAGATTGAAAAAATAACGATGTTGTCAATTGATAAATGTCGATAAGAAAAGCCGCCATAAAGTGGGGAGGGGACAAAGTTTGTCTTATGTACCTAGGCGTGACACAGTCCAAGAAAACAAAACTTACTTTCATAGTGAACAGTTTCCCGCACCACGGACAGAAGTACTTGACATCGTGATCTGGGTGTACCTTGTGTTTGTGAGTTATCGCCTTTGATATAGTTGGAAACATTTGTGAGCACACGTCACAACTAACCATTTCGGACCTTTCTTTAGATTTTTCATCGGACATTTGGGGCTCATTTCCAAAGCGACTTTTACTTTTAAACTGCGGATCGGCGTGCTTCCTAAACATTTAATTACAATTCAATCACAAATTTGAACGTCAAGGTATAAAGGCTGCTCTGACATTTGTATACACGCAAAACTAATAAATTTACCGAAAGTGAACTTGCAAATCTTCTTTATTATCGAAAACGTCCTTGCAAAATATACAATTAAATTTCTGTTCTGTAGTCATGTTGATGTCGAGTTATAATAATTCTTCAGCACAGTACGCTATTCCCTCAGAGCACTTAAGCCATGGTAGAGTAATGCACTGCATTTCTTGTAGTTAATTATTTTTAGCTCTATCTCTTTATAATTAGTTGTAATTACAATAAACTTTAAGTCATACTTCAATATCAATAGATTTAACCATAAATCCAAACAAAACGCAGGCCATTTTGTAAGTAGGTATTTATTTATGTTTCTTGCAATAATCTGCAAGTAAACATCTCTACTCTAGGCACGATGAATTTATCGATTCAAAGATATGAAATAGTCGATTAATTTTCTTGTTGCCAATTGATCAATGAAAATTGCAAGAAACTTAAATATAAGTTTTTATTAGATTTTTATTAGAAATCTAACTTATTTAGCAACGGCTATTTATTTTAAAGATATTTTGTGATTTTTTTATGTAATAAAAACTTGTTGAAACTTCGGCTTTGTCTGTTTAGAATGTTTTCCTTTAAGATAATATTGGCTTAACACTTGACACCTATTAATATTTAACCGAAAGTAGGTTCTAGTAAAGGCTCAATTAATTAGTTAATATTTATAAACCAAACGTAGTAGGCAGTTCTACAAGTGTTCTCATCCGGCACAAAGGCATGAAGACCTCTTGCTCTTGGTCTGAAAACAAGTTAAGTAAGAGCATTCATCAATTTGAAATTATAACAATTTAATGTAATAATTAATTTAGTAATTCAATTCTTCATCATACTCGTGATGTAAAATGATGTAAATCGTTTTTTTGTCGGAAGAGGCTGGTCTACTACCTTACCATTATTTGTTATTGTTTGAATTTGACTTTTTTAGAGACCTGAGTTTGTTTGTCCTTTCTTCTAATAATACTCAACCCCATAGAAACGGGCGGTTGTTGATCATATCATATTTATTTTGTTAAATAATTGACAAAACAGAGATTGTTATTCTGTGTGTGTTGATTAATGACTACAGTCTATCGTCTATCGTTTCTCAAGATACTTTTCTAGTACCTAAGTAATTTTTCTGTGATGTGATTTGTGATTAGTGTAATCATTTCGAACACTCGATATGAAATGCTTACCCGCAGTAGCTGACGATATCTACAAAATTACTTTTTTTACTGCCTCCCTTCATTTTTCAGGTGTTTTGGTTTTTATTACATGCCCTCTTAACAACGTCATAAAAATCTTTCATAAACTTCTATAAGTGTTTAGGTTTTTAGTAATTAGTTGTGAGCACAGCGACCCGGTCTGATTTTTTTTGATTGCAGAAATAAAATCAAGCAAACATGGCTAAGATAATCCGCACGTTTTATTTTGCTAAGCGGATGTACTCTGGAGTGCCGAGTAAAGTAAAAGCTCAAAAATATGTCTTGACAAAGTACTTTCAAGGGGAACCCAAGAAAACTGATTTCAAAATAGTTGAAGAGAAAATTCCAGAATTAAAGGATGGAGGTGATCTATTTAAATCTATAAATCTTTTGTTTATGTCTACTCCAACTTATTTTGCTATAGATTATGGAGTCAGGCTGTAAGGCGGAAAGGCGTACCTACGTTGAAAATATATCATTGAAGATACCTTCGCGCCCTTCTTTCTTTTCTGGAAATAGTAAATGACTGACTTCGTATCTCAATAAAAAATCAGGCGATTGTTAGCGACCAATTATCTGCCAAAATTTTAAAATAATTTTCAATAATTTTGATACTTACTTATCCAAGGACAATCTGAAAAACTAAAATTAGAATGGTTTTTATATTTCTCTATCGACGTTCAGTGTGGTTGACAGTGAACTTATTCAACTGGTTCACAAACCTCTTTGTTTGATCTTCCTAGTCGTCAAACTTCTCTGACTTGCTAATTTTTCTTTCAGAAGTACTGGCTGAAGCTGAATATCTTAGCGTCGATCCTTATATGCGAGCTTATATGATTGGATATAAACTACCCGCAGACATGATAGGGGAACAAGTTGCGAAGTGAGTGAGTAAAGAAAATGTGTATTTGTATAATTATTGGCACGGCTTATGATACCTATATTTTTATTTTCAGAATCATAGCTAGTCGTAACGATAAATATTCTGTTGGTAGCTATGTTACTGGATCTTTTGGGTGGAGAACGCACACTATTTTTAACCCTGATGTACTGTCAAATCAGCCGGGATTATTGCCAGTTACACTTTTACCTGATATCAATCCGCATCCGGTATCTTTGGGTCTAGGAGTTTTGGGTATGCCCGGGTGAGTGTTGTATTTATTTTTTACTAAATTAGGGATACTCTCATAATAAAACCACATTAAAGTTGTTCGTGTTGGTGTGGTGTGGTATTGGCTGAACATTTCAACTTTTTCTTTGTTTTAGTAATACAGCTTACTTTGGCTTAAAGGAAATATTACAACTGAATCCAAAAGATACCCTTGTTATAACTGGTGCAGCAGGCGCAGTTGGGTCTCATGTTGGTCAAATTGGTAAAATACTTGGTAAGACCAACGTCATTCTAAAATTAATTTATCTTTAAGAGCACTAGAAATGTGATAAACAGTTCGGTAACCTCGTGAACCCTTCTGACTAGGTATTTCAGGATTGAGTAGCTACAAAGCGTTGCGTTGTTCACAGTAATAGCTTCAAACGGGTAGGTAATCGCCTGATCGTAGGAACAAACTGTGAGATCGTAATTACTATACCTGACACTAAATTGAATTTGTACGTGCATCATGTACCTATCAAACTATTTATAATATTGCTAGCGGAATAAATGCTTAATTCATGATCATGATTCAGAAATAATCACTGTCAATTCCATTTTTCAACCATGTTCATTTCACTATCAATGACTGCTTGAAGAAAACTCGTGCTCGAAGCTCGCCTTTATGTACACTAAATTCTTTATCTTTGGAAAATATTATTGGTTGGTTAAATAATTCAGTTAAATTCCAGAGATGTATAACAATTAACATTATTATTGCAGGCACCGCAGTACTAAAAGAAAAAGTATAGATGAAAAATACAATTCTTATTAATAAAATAACTTAATTGCATTAAAAACATATCCTCAACTTCAATACGCCTAGATCGTGATAAATGTAATATACACTGTATTTATAATCCTTTCATATCCCTTAAAATCAATCAGAGTTAGAGCGTTTTCGTCAAATGTAAATTACTATCAAGGTCTAGGTTCACTCAAGAGTGAAACTAATTATGTCTTCACAAATGGCAAAAATAGCCAAGTCAGTCAGTCAACTGGCAACTGTATAAGACTGCGAGAAATTGGTCTAACCAGATGATACGGAATGCTAAACGCCGCCATGTTCTTGATAATATTTCCTGTTCCTCTCCTGCCGATATCTGGAAGTTCCTTGGAACTCTTGGTATCGGCAGGTCACGACATATAGACTTTCCACAATCCAAAAGTCTCGATTCCATGTAACAACATTTCACTAACCCCTTCACGTTAGACAGTCAATCTGAACACAATACCCTTAATTACATCAATAGTCTACCGCGCCCTAACTTAAGCCCTTTTTACTTTGGTAACTTCTCCCTCATATCTGGCACATTTCCTTCTTTTTTGTAGAAAGCGTATGTACGCCCATTACCTAAAACTTCCAATATGTCTCTTCCCATTCACTTTCGTCCCATTTCTGTCCTCTTCGGTCGGAGTTTCGACCAGGCCATAGCACGGTTACTGCTCTTCTTAAAGTGACAGGCAATATTATGGTGGCGATGGAGAATGCTAAGGTTCAGCCTTAGTACTAGTTGATTTTTCCAACTTGACTTGACTTCAACACCGTCAGTCATGAACTCCTCCTTGCTGTCCTATCCCATTTCTCGGTCGCTAAAGAAGCACTGGAATGGTTTCCGTCTTACCTTCGGCGGTATTCTTCTACCTCTTCTATTTTCCATCTTCATTAATCTCATCACCCTAAGACTTAAGTGTTCCTATCATGTCTATGCTAGTGACTTGCAGTTATACTACCCAACTGAGTTGGCGGCCTTCGTAAATAATGGCCTGGTCAGATATGTTTGGCGTAACGGTGAACCCAAATAAATGTCAAGGTATTATCATCGGAAGTAACCGTCGTATGAGCTAGCTTGACCTTGCTTCACTTCCGCCACTTATCTATAGTGGCAGGGTTATTACATGCTGTGAAAGTGTGAAGGACCTCGAATTATAAAATGACACGACTTTTAGCTGGCGAATACAAGTTGCATCTGTGAGCCAGAAAGTCACAGGCTCGTTGCGGACCCTCTATAGGCTTAAGAACTTTCTGCCCATTAAAACTAAGGTAATGCTTGCCCAGACCCTAATGATCCCTATATTCCACTATGGTGATGTCTGCTACTTCCTGAATGCATATCTGCTCAATAAGCTTAACCGTCTTCTAAACAATTGCATTCGATTTGTTTTCAATTTACGCAAATATGATCAATTGTCTCAGCATCATTTGACGACTGGATGGCGTAGTGGTTTGTGTAACGGACTGCTATTCCAAAGGTCGCGGGTTCGATTCCCGCTCAAGTCAAACATTTGTGTGCATGAACATTTGATGTTTGATTTGGTCTGGGTGTTTCTATGTATAATATGTATGTATTTTAGACGAAGACAGACGAAGTCGAAGCGAAGTGCCGGATTTACCATAGAATCCGGCACTGCTTCAAGCTACCTGCTTCTTCACTGTCCCACTTACCGCTCTGACTTCGTACATTCTACTTTCCTGGCACAATCTGTCATGGCATAAACTAGGCAAAATACCTATTGCGGAAACGTCTCTTAAACGCCTTCTCACATCTACGTTAATACCTCTCTCTTCTAGAATTTAGCATGTGTATGTATAAATAAATACTTGTATAATTAAATATATAAATACTTAGGTATGTATTGTGTATTAATAGTATAGTATCATTAATACCTATTGTATATGTAGTGACGGATTAAGAATACGGAATGTCACTACCCCAGTTCATCCCGTGGGTGTCGTAAGAGTCGACTAAGGGCGCAAAACAACGCAGGACACCAGCTCTGCAAAAAGAAGGAAAACTTGTCACAAACCCTATACCAACCCGTCTGGCCAGCGTGGTATAGTAGGCCAAAACCTCCTTTCTAAGGAGAGGCCTATGTTCAGCAGTGGACTATTACAGGCTGATGATGTGATGTGATATGTATCTTTTTTATTATAATATATTCTAATGTAATTTATATGATATTCTACTTATGCTATATTTTTCATAAAATCTCATTTTTTAATTTCTATGCATCTACCATTTTTAGCTCTGCATCGCTTAAAGGTCGATTGGGAGAATGCCTACGGAATTAAGTCCGCCTTTGCCACATGTGTGCATAAAGTATAAATAAAAATAAAATAAATGAAAATACCAAAAAAACTGATGACTTTAGAATCTGCTCCTTCTTGAAGTCAAATAAAAATAATGATAAGGCATCAACTGTTTTAGGTTGCCGCGTAGTAGGGTTTGCCGGTAGTGACGAAAAATGTCAGTATTTAGAAAAAGAATTGGGATTTGATCATGCCTTTAATTACAAAACTGTTGACATCAAAACAGCTTTACGAGAAGGATGTCCTGACAAGATTGACTGCTACTTTGACAATGTAAGTGCCCTTCAAACATTTTTTATTATTTGTTAAAGGAATATGAGATAAAATATTTCTATTGTTTTTGTGAATTGTATGAATTCAGACAAATAAATTGTTTGAAAATCTAGATCTGCTTTCTAACTTTTTCCTTTTGCTAGGAAAAATAAATTCAAACGAGAAATGAAACCCTCTAACAAAAACTGGTTCCAATACTTGTTAATTTGCTAATTTGACTTGATTTATGGTTTTTGGCAATATTGCAGAATTGAAAGACAAGCGGTTTAGGAAAATATACAACTGTCACGAGTTTTCTGTAGCCGTCTAGAACTAAAAGCTATAACCCGGCAATCTCGTGCGCGACCGTCCCGCGGGGTGACAGACAGTGGCGGGGGCGAGGTAGCGCGTCATTCCAGCACACGGCTACACACGAAGAGAAGCGTTTCCCTTTCCCGCTACACCACCCGCTACCCGCTAACATCTTGATTACCTCCCCGCCACCGTCTGTCACCCCGCAGGACGGTCGCGCACGACGTCGATGGACTATAGTAACTATTTTTCTAAGACTTATGTGGGAGGTTTTGCTATTTGGCGCATAGAAGAGTACTAACTGTACATAGTTAACGTATATATTTAATTGTTTTATTATGTTTACAGGTAGGAGGTGAAATAAGTTCGCAAATAATGAGCCAAATGAACAAATATGGTAGAGTTGCAGTTTGTGGGTCAATTTCTTCCTATAATGATAGCAAACCTCCCAAAGGTAGGATTTTTATTTTAGATTTAATGTAAATCCTTATTAGTTGATCACCACTCAAAAAAATACGTCTAATTGATGTTTGAGCTTATATTCATAACATTTACCGTAGATAATTAAATTTTATAATTCAATTTATTTACAAATAGTAGATAGTAAGAAAATCCTTAATTTAAACAGTATTTTACTAGCAGGTGCTAGTTAAAATTTTCAGTTTTCATTTAATGTTTACCTATTAGGTTGAAAATTTGGGCCATGTACCTAGTTGCAGAACAAAAATAAATAGGTATACATTTCACAACTGCCAATTTCTCATTTATTTATATATTTTTTGTAGAATATAATTAACATAATATACATAAGCTTACTATGCAAAAAAACACATTGATTGAATTTTTTAATATCTTTCCTCGTCTCGAGAAAAGTATTTTTTTAATTTTTATTCTATAATTTTTTGTGGATAGTAATTGAATATTGAATATGCTACAATTTAATCAATTGCTTGTCATTTCAGTTTCATTAGTTCAACCTGCTATTGTATTTAAGGAGCTGAAAGTTGAAGGATTTCTGGTGTATCGTTGGGTAGACCGCTGGAATGAAGGCATTAATGTAAACCTTAACTGGTTACGTGAAGGAAAATTGAAATATCAAGAAAAAGTTTATCATGGATTTGAAAATATGGTGGATGCCCTTGTGGGTATGCTTAGAGGAGAAAATACTGGCAAAGCCATTGTTAAAGTAAAATGATCGTGTCAATAATTTAAAAAAAATGTGGTCTCTGCATGAGACATGTAATAAATAAACTTTTATACTATGGAGTTTTATTTATGTAAAAAGTGAAGGCATTCGATTTTTGTCTGCTGTGAAGCAAAAGCACAAAAAACACTATTTAAACATTCAGAAAATTTCCATTAAACCTTACTTTACAATATCAAGATTCATAAGGTCAAAAAAAGAAATCCCGACTAAACTTATCTATACCTTCATAATAGGTCTTTATTTACGGAGTTGGAGATTTTTATAATCAGCATTTTCATATTTAATTATCTTTGGATTGGCGCGCGATTTGAAAATCAAATAAATTTTCTTCGAAAGGCACGTTATTTTACTTTAAAATTCAGTCCAAATGACTGAATTTTAGATAGTGTTTTGTTTCTGTAAAATGGAGGTAGTTTTTGGCACCATGGATAAACTCAAAATTCGTACAATTTTCGAAAATAAGTTCCTAAGTGGAAATACCGTTGCGCAAAGAACACGAAACATTAACGACGTGTACGGGCCTAATACTGCTTACATGAAAGCGATCCATTATGGGTTCAATCGTTTTAGATCTTGAAATTTTGAGTTGAAGAACGAGCCTCGCGGTCGGCCGGTAAGTATAGTCGACAACGACGAATTTAAGGCGACAGTGCAAGCGGATCCAACTCAAGCTACGGCTAAGCTTGCTGCGAACTTTGAAGTTAGTGATAAAACAATATTGAAGCACTTGCGTCAAATCAGAAAGATTAAAAAAGCTGGATAAGTGAATGCCACACGAACTAAGCCATCATTAGCGACAGTTACGAGTCTAAGCATGCATGGATCTACTCATACATATCTCTTAATCTGTGGATCTACTGAATCCGCATGGAAACGAAAGAATTCTGTATTGAATTGTTACTTGCGATAAAAAGTGGATCCTGTACGACAACCGTAAGCGTTGCTTTTTTAATGATTACTTGTTAACGATAAATACATTGACTCTTTTTTAACATTTATTGTTCCAAATTACACTTAAACATACTTATAAATGCCAAAATCTATGTAGCTGAGCTCAAAGCTTTCTAAAGAAATATTCTTATAAAATTGTGTTTAAAAAATGATCAAATTCGTTTATTAGTTTTGGCAATGGTATTAAATGGTAAAATCTATACATGCAATTTTAGTTTTATTTTAACGTCTTTTCTCATTGTTGCTAATGTAGATTTAACATTCATCTTTGTTTTAGTTGATTTTTTCATGATTAAAGTTATTGGCAACATTACACCGAACTGCCTCCTATTCTCCATTTAAATCATTTTAAATTCTATGTCAACTTGTTTTTTTTGGTATTGTTTACTTTGAATTTAATTTGAAATTAAGATATCTACCTACCTACCTCTTTGTGCAAAACAAAAACAAATGTAGTTATTCAAGAGTTGAGTAGTAAAAATTTAAATGTGAAACATTCTAGTTGAAATTCACAGTTATAAAGTTTCATAAAATCGTGTTTATTTTACCGATTCGTGTAAATGAAAATATGTCTGTAAAAAGTATACTTTCTAAACTTTCTACTGAATTTACTTATGTAGTAAACGTTGATACGTTTGTTACACCGATTGGCAAAGCTATTGCAGTGGCCGATGATGACTACTTGTACATACTTTCTTTCGAAGACTCTAAAAATCTAGAGAAGAAGTTCGAAACTCTCTCAACTCAGCTGGAATGTAAATTTGTAGAAAGCAACAATAAATTAATAGAAAAGATTAAAGAAGAGTTCTCGCAGTACTTAAAAGGCAGCCTCAAGAAATTCACTGTGCCTGTCAAATTCTTTGGTACAGATTTTCAAAATGTAATTACAAGTTTTTTTTAAAATGTACCTTCTCTAAGTTTTGTTTCTCAGAAGCATACTGCAAACCTGATGATAAACAGTTACCCCTACAGAAACAACTACTTGCCCTTGTAGCGATATGATGATGATAGGATTTGGGTAGCTAATTCCTGAACTCTGCCACCACCCATACCACCGCTTTCTTGTTGTAAACATAGGAGGCAATAAGGCAGAGCAACTCATTATATAGATAACAAATAATGAAGGAACTTATAAAAGTTACAATGAAATGCATATGTTTCAAACTTCACATGATGTATTTATGATATAAATATAATAAAATTTATTTTTTCAGGCTGTATGGAATAAACTTTTGGAGTTACCTTATGGGTCAACTCAAACCTATGCAGATTTAGCAGTAGCTCTGGGACGGGCTAAAAGTCATTCACGAGCTGTAGGTGGAGCTTGTGGTGCCAATCCATTGTTAGTAGTAGTACCATGTCATAGACTCGTTGGAGTTGCTTCTAAAGGAGGATACAACAGTGGTGAAGATCGTAAGGACAAATTACTAAAACTTGAAAATACAAGTTCAAGTTAGTTTATGAAATCAAATGTGATATTTAAATTTATTTCTCACTGACTACCTCATAATGATTATTACATAAAAGAAACTATAATTACTCTATAGTTTATCATTTGTCTGCCCTCTTCCCAATTTTTAATTTTTTTTCTAATTTATTTTAGTGACTTTTTTTTCAAAGTCAAAAGTAACTAACATTTACATTTTCAATCAAATCTGCATTAATCGATTATTAAATACTTTTACGGTAATAATAATAATAGCCTTTATTTAACAATCTTACAAAATAAGTGCATATTATATTCTAAGTATTAGATTTAAGTAATATGACACCAGTTTCGTGAAGATTATCTTGCTTCCCAGCATAGGCCTCCCCTAAAGCTTGCCATAAAATGCGATCTTGTGTTTTCCTTCTCCATGTGATGCCTGCTATTCTTTTTATGTCATCCTCAAACCTACGACACTGCCTTCGTTTCTTTCTCTTGTATTGCCTTTTAAACCACTCAATTACGTCTTTGGTCCATTTCTCCTTCTTATTCCTCATCATGTGACCTGTCAATCTCCACTTTAGTTTTTTAATGCAATATGTTACATCTGTAATTCTGGTTTGTTTCCGAATTGTTTTAACTTTTATTCTGTTTCTTAATTTAACATTGAGTATGCTTCTTTCCGTACTATGTTTTTTAACTGTAGAAATGTACTTGTATACATACAGGGTTACTGGGTAAGGGGTTGTAGTTGACATCATTTTTGATAGATTTTACTATGAAAGACCATATCCTAAACCTAACTATTTTCAAAATATTTTACTTTTAAGATTTTTTATAAACTATCCGAAATTTTACCTAATTACTTTATTTTAGAACTTTTCCTCTATTTTATGTTTTTTTTTAAGCTTTTGAATATCATATATATCATGTTTTGTTGATACATTGTTTCATAAAATTGTGGTTAACAAAAAGGGCCGAGGTGGATGGTTAAAAATAGCAAAATAAAATCAGGAAAAAAATTCTTTGACGAATTTCCTAAATAATCTAAGACTGTTAAACAGAAGACTTAAAAAAAAGTGCTTATTGTCAGCTATCTAAAAAGTTATCTATGTCTATGATAGTATTAGAATTCATAGAAAAAAACTTAATTGAAAGACCTTTTAGGGGTATTAAGAATTAGCGTACAACCCGATAGTACCTAGTTGAAATCTTGACTGGTATTTTTGGACTCTTTCGTTTTCTATTCCTGAATAACTATTGCTAACTGGACTTCTATTTGTGTTTCTGATACTGTTGGAGATGATGACCTATACGAAGGAGGTATAGAGTATGCTGATATTCTGATTTGTTACGGATACTACCAATGCGTATCCGTACGGTCTCCTGGATGAATACATAGCACGCTATCTCGGCCGTCGCGTGCCGTGTTGATTTGGGTACATGAATGAATGAATGAAGAAGTTTTATTTTAATGACATTGCAACACAATTACAATATTATTGTACAGAATCAGAACATATATAATACTGTAAAACGTAATGAAGTAGAATATAATATAGTACCTATTAAACACTGTAACAAGTAACATATTTGTAAATTAAATTAAAACTATTTGTATAAATTTCTATATATTCTTAAACGTAACATAAAAAACATAGTATCCTATGTATATATACTATACATAAGATATTCGCTGTACAATTGAGTCGCAGAGTTCATTAAAAGAAGATGTTGCTCAGTATAATGCTGCACCATTACGATACAGCAGCAAATAAAAGAGGGCCCAAATTAGACCCTTGAGGCACCCCCTAGATAAGGAGCGAATATAAGAATATATTTTGCTTCCATCATCTCTAGTAACTTGCGCTCGATTGGACAAATAGCTCTCGAACCATTTCACCGTGCCTACGTCAAAGCCATAGTAGGAAAGCTTTGAAAGCATCAGTGATATATTAATACAGTTATTCAAAGTCAGAAAAGTCTAAAAGGGCTAATAACATACCTTTGTGTGCGTTACCCCAGCAAAATAATGTCGAAAATGGTCATTTAAACTTTATAGATAATTAGTTGCTCCCCTTCTGTAATTGTTAGGCACATTTTTAAATTTGTTTCACTTAAACTTTTTTAGTTATTTCAAAAAAACATTTCCTGCTGGGGTAACGTTTGAAACGTTACCGCAGCCAGACATTTTCTTTTTTAATTGTAATATTGAAATAAATTTTAGCTAAATAATTAGTTATCTGGACCAGGTAAATGTTACAACTTATTTGGTATTTGTATTTTCTTCGGCTGCGAAGTTATTCGAAATCCTGCTGGAGTAACGTTTGTGGGTTTGCTGGATCTCTGAAACGGGTAAGCGGATTGTAACCATCTTTTGTACATAACTTCTTAAGGATTAGTTTTAATTTGTTCGACAATAAAATCACAAAAATAATGGACCGTTTAAAAATTATTTAGGTAAGTATGAAAACACTTCAATACGTCCTAACACTTTAAATAAGACCTCTAAAGACTTACTTCAAACGTTATTCTATTGCTTGAAACTACCTTCAAATGTATACGAATTTTCGTAAGAATACTATAAGTGACTAAAAAGTTATGATGAAATGTAGCTCTCCACGTTCACGATCACAATGTGTGCGGCCTTTTTTGGCCACCGATAAACCTGTGTGTGGATATATAAACTGAATGTTATGCTAATAATTAGTTGTTTAGTTCAGTTGTCTACCTGTAGAATTTCAGAGTCGTACATATAATATTTTACGAGATAATTAAATAAAAGTCATTAGAAGGTGCAAGTCCGTGGTAATCCGACCATGTTTAGGTGGTTACAAAAAAGCGATCACCCAGTACATTGCGCTGTCTTTTAAAATGTTTAGTGTAATACACCTTACGATTTCGGTACAGTTGCGTACAGTGTTAAATACATTCAATATTTATTCATTATTACCTATTATTTATTTTGTTTATTTCCCTAATTGATCTTAAGCACTAGTTTCTTTACTTAAAATTTCTTTAGTCTTTTTTACTACCGGAGCTACAATCAACAGAAAATCTGCACTGGTCCGCTAAAATTATAAATATGTAAATACATGTATGAACGATTCACCTGACTGCAATAAATCGAAAATTTAAACCAATAAGAAATCGTTTCATTTCTTTGATTTTTTTTGTAAAGAAATAACACTAAAGTAATTGTATTTTATTTTGGGGTGTATAGAGCTTAGACTTGAATGCATCAAAATATTTAAAGCAACAAGTCATCTACAATAAGTTAAAATAGACCGAATAGTAGAAGAATACAGTTGTAAATTAGAATGCATCAACATTGCATCGCCCAACAGTCGTATACCTCGTAAGAGTAGGTAATATTGTTCTGTGGTCTATACCGAGAACCGAGAATTATCTATACCTATGTACCTACCGTTAAGCGTTGAGCCCGTGACTGTTGATTTCTGTTAAAAACGAACAGTTGTTGAATGATATTTTGATACAATAAAGGTAATTTAATTAATCGAGTGAAAGTGATACCTTTTTATAGATAAAATTATTGGTCAGATAATATTTGTCAATCAAGAATCGCTGATAATACATCCTTCGCTAGAACGCGGGAGGGGAGGGGCGAAGGGATACTTCATTGTTTGCAATTTGCATCTAGTGCACTAAACTTGACCCTTAGGCAGATAATATACGTGTTGTAAAGTACGTGTGCGCTTCCGCTTTCTATTTTTGCAAATATTTATCGTATTCTTGAGAGTTCTTCAATATGTGTGTACCTAATTACTAATAATGGGCATTAATGCTAATTCGATTCAATTTAAGTAATTGTCAATTCTTGTCTTAGGATATTAATTACTAATGCTAATATTGAAATTTCGTTCAGGGTGAACAAATTAAAAACGATCATAACTTGTAGGTAGGTATATCACTTATTACTAATTTTACATAAATAATTAATTTTATTATAATTTAACTCACCGCGATTTTGTGATCAAATATTTTATTTTCTCCAAAATTATTACAGAAATATTGCAATACAGAGTTTGTTCGCGATATGCTAGCCTAAGTCGATTCATCACTTAAAAAAATCCCCATCTATTCACAAAATACCTATTTACAACGCATACGTCACACTCTTCAAAACTTAAATTACCTATACCTACCCTAAAATTAAACTTCAATTAACAAATACTACGCAGGTACCAATTCTATGAACAACTATAAATAATTCACCTAAACATTACGAGAAAACAAAAGCATTCAAAACAATACCTAATCTCCCGGATGATTACTAATTATGCAATAAGCAATCCTAAATAAAAATTATTTAAAAAACATGTAGTTTTTTGTAACACTTATGTACATATCCGTAGTAAACTTGCAAATAATATCCTACATATTTTAAAAGCCAGCACAATTTACTGGGTGATCGCTTTTTTGTAACCACCTAAACATGGTCGGGTTACCACGGTCTTGCACCTTCAAATGACTTTTATTTAATTATCTCGTAAATTATTATATGTACGACTCTGAAATTTTACAGGTAGACAACTGAACTAAACAACTAATTATTGGCATAACATTCAGTTTATATATCCACACACAGGTTTATCGGTGGCCAAAAAAGGCCGCACACATTGTGATCGTGAACGTGGAGAGCTACATTTCATCATAACTTTTTAGTCACTAACAGTATTCTTACGAAAATTCGTATACATTTGAAGGTAGTTACAAGCAATAGAATAACGTTTGAAGTAAGTCTTTAGAGGTCTTATTTAAAGTGTTAGGACGTATTGAAGTGTTTTCATACTTACCTAAATAATTTTTAAACGGTCCATTATTTTTGTGATTTTATTGTCGAACAAATTAAAACTAATCCTTAAGAAGGTATGTACAAAAGATGGTTGCAATCCGCTCACCCGTTTCAGAGATCCAGCAAACCCACAAACGTTACTCCAGCAGGATTTCGAATAACTTCGCAGCCGAAGAAAATACAAATACCAAATAAGTTGTAACATTTACCTAGTCCAGATAACTAATTATTTAGCTAAAATTTATTTCAATATTACGATTAAAAAAGAAAATGTCTGGCTGCGGTAACGTTTCAAACGTTACCCCAGCAGGAAATGTTTTTTTGAAATAACTAAAAAAGTTTAAGTGAAACAAATTTAAAAATGTGCCTAACAATTACAGAAGGGGAGCAACTAATTATCTATAAAGTTTAAATGACCATTTTCAACATTATTTTGCTGGGGTAACGCACACCATACCTTTACCCTTGTCACCCCCATCCAAAATATTATCCACAACATCTAACAACGCAGTGCATGTACTACGTTTCTTAAGTGCAGTGTGAAAGTCCGAGTGAAGTTCCGGAAGCAAATTATTAGTTTTGATCTAGTGTGCCATTACGAATATTACGTTTTATGCATGAAGTTTTTTAATGAACGATTTTTTTGTAATTAAATTTTTTGTTTAAATCACATGCCATGTTTATTTAGCACTATGTAACTTGCACTGTTAGCGAGGCAATAGAGGCTTTTATCCGTCACTACCATGCTTCGCGCTTGTACACTGCCTTAACTCTCTGTCTCTACAATTGTGTCATCTAATTTGTAACTATATTTTCTGATTAATCTAGCAAGCAGTTTGTAAAAGAATATGGTAGCAAATATTTAAAAGAAGTTTTCTAGACTTTTTTTTATCCCGAATAAGCGATGGGACTCGAACAATGGTCGCTATTGTTGAATTGCTTTTCCGATGGAATCACTTAATTAAAGATCGCATGTGTATTTGTAGTGATATTAGATAAATCTATTATTTATATCTGTGAAATGTGATATCAAAGTGAATTGTTACTCCCTGTTAAAAAAATAGAATTATTTACCTACGGAGGTTCTAACGTTTTTTCGATTGTGTGTAATGATCATTTAGTTTAATTCACATTTTGCAATAATATGATCGTGTATGTAACTAGTACTGAAGTAAGTGATACGAGAAAAGAGTAATTTACATTGACAAAATCAGCCATGTTGAAAGTAATAGGTCGGTCTTGCATTAACGCACGAAAAGTTACAACTGCGGATTTTAGATCTTCATCTGAAATAGACAATAATTATATTTAAACTTTTTCATTGGACTCATTGGATCTAATGTTTCGGTATAGGTCATGATTAGGTATATTCGTATTTATACATAAAACTGTACATATTTCTACAAAAGATTGTAAGGCAAGGCAAACCCGTTATACCTAAATCTGATTTTTAATATTTACAGGGTTACTGGATAAGTCGACCTAAATACTTTAAGGGGTTGTAGTTTCCATAATTTCTGATAGATTTCTGCATGAAATACCATATCCCAAGAATGACGATTTTCAAGATATTGGACTTTTAAGATTTTTATAAAAATTTGCCCAACACAATTTTTTTATATCCTTTATTTTATGCTTATTTACTGTTTTTGTGTAGTTGTTTCATAATTTCAATTAATAAAATTGTAGTTAACTTAAACTGGGCCGAAGTAGATAGTTCATAATAGGAAAAGTAAATAAAGTTTTAAAATCATTTCTCTTTGACAAATATAATATTTAAAAGATTAAAAAAAAAACATTTACGTATGCGCTACGTAACAAGGCATAATAGTTTAGGATAGTATCAGAATTCATAAAAAAAACTTAGATGAAAGACCGAAGGTGTTAACAATTAGTGTACAACCCGGTAGTATGGTCTTTCAGCTAATCTTTTTTTTCATAAATTCTGATACTATCCTAGACTGTTATACCTTGTTAGGTAACTGAGAATACGTACATGTTTTTTAAAAAAATCTGCAGTTTAACTGTAATAGATTTTTTTATAATATTTGTCAAAGATATTTGTTTCTTACAAATTTTTTTTCCTATTATTAACCATCTACTTCGGCAAAGTTTAAGTTAACTACAATTTTAGTAATTGAAATTATAAAATAATTTATCAATTACACAAAATCAGAAAAAAAACATAAAAAAGGATATAAGCTCTAAAAAAATTGTATTAGGCAAAATTTTGGCGATTTTTATAAAATATCTTAAAAATCCAATATCTGGAAATGGTTATTTTTGGGATATGATATTTAATAGTGAAATCTATCAGAATTGATGGCAACTACAACCCCTTAAAGTGTTTAGGTCGACTTACCCAGTAACCCTGTATATTATATGATGTAGTTTTATTCGGTCCGATTGCAATAAAACAGCCTTGCCTCCGCATTAAAATTCTTTGTTCTGAAAAGATCTTGAATTCTATAAAAATTACAAAAAGAATATTTACCGCTGCAAGATTCTTACTTACCGGGCTTTTTATTAATTAGTAAGTGGTCAATGATATTGACAATCCTCTTTCGTTGACCAGTTGTCTTTTCACTTTGGTCTACTAGAGTCACGAATATAACTGCACATGTTAGTAGGCGGACAAAGCTTGACGTGATTGGAAAATATCCAGTACTCTTAATTGTCTTCTAATCACAACATGAAAAGATTAAACATAATAGGGTATTAATTGTTGATTTTATTACAGATACTGATGTGATTGCTTATATTTTTACATTTAATTGGCTTAAATAAGTTGTTTACTAATCAAAATCTGGAATATTCTGTTGCCTAAGTGGGGCAGGCCAGGCCCACTTTGCACATTGGGAAAACAGTTACATCGACGACGCTTCGATTTGTCGTACACATTGCACTATGTATTATAAAGCCAATATTTCGGACATCCCCTTTTTATTTCAAAAAATTATAAAACCAATCATTTAGTACGTTACGGTAAAACTACGGAGCAATAAGTATGATTAGTCTAGTCAGAAATAAAATTAAAATTTCATATTTTAATTTTGCCTGATAAAATTATCTACACTAAGAACAAAAATTAAAATTAATGCGATTTAAACTCACATTAAATGCTACCAGCCTTACTAATAAAAATAAGTTACACATATATGTATCCCTAGTAGTATATGGTGGATGGTTATAAGATTTGTACCGTTTATAAAGTGAGTCATCCTTACTATTTTTATGTAATTATAATATTTTTAGAACTTTGCTAAAAGTAAATAAATTCTTCTCAAAGAATTGTTACAACTTCAAAAACTAAACGTTTGTTAAAAACACTTGAAGTGTTGTTAACAAAACGCATTCCTACGTTTTCTAAACTTGCCATGCATAAAATATAAATTACATAAGAACGTTGTTTATATCGAGATGAAAAAAAAAAGAGCTCTACTAGTGTATTTAGCAGTTAAAAACAAACATTTCTTTATTAATAATATTAACTGTACAGATTAGATGAAGTAATACACGAATGATTATTTTAAATCAATTAAATTAAGGAAAGGTACTAATAACTTTTATGGAATCGATTAGATTAATAGTGAACAATATGTAAAAGAAGTAATTAAACTGATTTGATATGACAACATTTTATTGACGAAAAAAAAATCGTAAACGAATGAATTTAAAATATTTCTAGGTTAACTTGTTGACAGCAATGATAACTCGCTATCATTGGTATCGACTTAACGAACTACAAACTGAAAGAACGCAAAGTTCTAAAAATCTGGTAATTCAAACTGTAATTGTTGATGATATTACCAGCCAAATAAATACAAAATAATCCCTACCATGAGATACGCAAAGCCGTACAAAAGTTCCATATATGCCTGCCATTGTCCTTTATAGTTGTATAAGCTGTGAATAGGCGTTACACACTACCTTTACTAATAATCAGTGTGTAAACAATGAACAGTTAAAGCCTACGCTTAAAAAAACCACTGGCAACATTCGAAGGTTCGGAAACACGAACTGCTTTATGCCCATAACTTTTGTTTCATTTGGAAATACGTTTACAACTTTATACTTATGGCCATATGAAATGTATTTTTGATTGATAACGTAGTTTTATCCCAAAATATAGAGTTTTTAAATTCTTTTACAAATTAAAAAATAAATTTGTTTTTGATTTGCTCGTCACATACATGCATACAGTTTTAGAACGCAACTGATATAAGTTAGTGTGGGTGGGTAGGCTCCCCACCAGGTAGTCCGACGGCCGACGATAAAAAATGTCGTAAAAGGTATATTCGTAGTATTACTAAGACTAGCAGATTATCGACTCAACTTTTAGTTACGAAACGATATAATCACATTACAGACAAACTGGATGTTTAATACTTCATTTATATATTTATACGAGAATTGACATTTCGTACAAACTTATAGTTCTTTTGACATTCCACCACCTCGAGCTTGCTGTTTAATCTCTCAATCACAATTAATTTAATATTTTTTCTTGCATATCTATTGCTAAACTTTAGTGTTGACCTAAACTCATATTCAGGTTAAAATAAATAATCAAATCGATTTTTGTAACATTTTCTTTTCTTGGTGGTTTTTCATCGTCAATTTCATAAAAAATATCCAAATATTGTAAATAATCCATGATTTTCAATTTTTATAGGTTACACGATTTCTAAACAAGCCCTGAGGGCTGAAAAACGGTTGTGTAAAATCTCTTTGTTTACGAACATCTGTACATCAGACGTACCTATACAAACGAAAAGTCAATTATTGTTTTATTGGCAACGTTTTTGTTATAACCCTGATATACGTCGTGTGTAACAGTTTATTAGTAAGGCTGTACATATTTTAAAGCAGTCACGAACTTCGTATCTTGCTTTGAACTCGAGATAAATGATTTATTAAATTTTATACCCAGATATATAGTCTGTCACTTTTTGAAATAATATAATTATTCGGATGTAATCCGGGTAGGTAGGTTACAAATCTGAATTTTTGTCAGTAGCTTCATTTAAAAAAGTTTACCAAACTTAAGACAATTATCCAAATACCATCGCTTGGAGCTACCGCCAAACAGCAGCACCTTCGTAATAAGAAAGTTTGGTAGATTCTTTAAAATAAAGCTACGTTGTGACGATGTGATAGAAAGAAAAACAATTTTACTTTTATAAATTCTAGGTGTATTAGGTGTGCATTATCTGAATTGCACTTTATTATGTCGGATCAAGAGTCTTTATTTGTTTTATTATTTTTGCTGTCTATTAAACTATTCTATGGTTGTACAGGGATCCTGCATTCAATTTCTGGGTTTGGCGGTTTCTCGATTTTGGTCTATAAAATACAATCAGTCTTACTAAATGTTGCTGTTTGATATTCATTAAGGTTTGTGGAGTTTCTCAGGCATTATGGTGGAAATCGTTAAGAGCCTTATTCTCGGTTGGTGAAATGTTGTACATGTCTCCAATCCATTAGCTTTATGATAGTCAAACTACAGCCTATACAAGAGCTTTATGTCTACAGCATCGAAATGAAACAACAAAATATAATTATGGATAGGTATAAGGTACTCTTGGGTAGTAGTATGGGTGGTAGTATGGGTAGTTTTGAACAATTCAACTGTCAACATCGTAGTCCTATTTATAATCATTTTTTAAATAATTAAGTGCGCAAAAAAGTGGAAAGATAATTACATTTCACAACCAGTGTAACGATTTATGTGTAAAATATGCAGAACACCATTTTTACTGAGTGAAACCGTTTAAAAGTGCAAAACAATGGCTCATGACAAATACCAGTAAAAAAGTTAAGAGTGAAAATAAGGTGAAAATAAGTGCAAGATACGGTTGCTGACAGTACAAGTGAACTTTATATTCCGAACAAAGTAGTTAATAGTGACAAACAACAAAACCTTTAAAAACCAAAAACTAATTATAATCTAAAAAGTGCTAAGAGGGTATTCATAACTCGGTAAAATTTCATTCCAAACCACAACAACGCCATCTACGGCGAACTGTCAGAATTAACTTGCCCATCCGTTAACAGATCGAAGACACAATCTACACATACTGTTACCGCCATCTAGCAAAAATTTACACCACACCACTTATTGTTATATCCACCGCAAATTTGATCTATCGAAGGGAACAAATCAGTACGAAGAAATAATAATAGAGGGCGCTAAGGGCCACATTCACAACAGTATGGAGGAAATTAAAAGTATGTTGATAAACATGCAACAAGACCTTAAACAGCAGAAACAAGACATGGTAGATATGAAGGAAGATATAAAAAACACTATTAACAGCAATATTAACGAAAAGTTTAACAGCCTAGAATTAAAAAATGATTTTTTGGAAATAAAATTAGAAGAACAGATTAAAAAAATAAACATCTTGGAACGGCATACTAGACGCAAGAATTTAGTATTGTTCGGAGTTGAAGATAAAGAAAAATCTTATGTAGAATTAGAAAACACAATCATAACAATAATAAATACGTATTTTAAAGTCTCATGCGATAATAACAACATCGAAGCTGTCAGAAGAGTAGGAAAGAAAGGCGAAAAACCTAGGCCGGTTATTATAACATTTACTACCATGGGCCTCAAAATCAAGATTCAAAGAAACAAAAAATCTCTACAAAACACACAGTACTATATAAAGGAAGATTATCCTATAGAAGTCCTCAACAAGCGCAGAGAACTACAAATCCAACTGCAGAAAGAAAAAGAAGCTGGCAACACTGCCTTCATCAAATACGACAAGCTTATCGTACTGCAAAATAATAAGAACTCTACGAGTAATCAGCTAAGCAAGAGGAACTTGTCGGAATCACCAGAAAAAACAAGCCATAGTAGCCAGCCCGGTAGTAATGACACTAGACAACAACCATCTAAGAAAAACAAAGTATCCAACATGAAAGATTACATAATACAAAAACCAAAACTAGTCCTCACTCAGACAGATACTCGTACCCGTAATAACTACTCGAAGATAACATCGCATAGCAACATCGTATAGCAACCACAGTTGGACCCTCTACCCACCTCCAATCTCCCAAAACGGCTGGTCACCGCGGGAGAATACGACCAAAACCCTCCAAGGCAAGTAAGAAATATAAACAAATACAACATTTGCACCTTCAATGTTCGATCGCTCTCGTCTGCAACAAAACTGATAGAGTTAAAAGCAGCTTTAAAAAATATTAATCACGATATACTAGGCCTGTGCGAGGTGCGCCGACTGGGAGAAAATATTATTGAAGACGACGATTATGTTATGTACTACCTCGGTAAAACCAAAGGCAAATTGGGTGTGGGCTTTCTAGTTAAGAAAAAGTACAAAGCATATATTACAACCTTCATTGGAATATCAGAAAGAGTGTGTCTATTGGAAATCATTCTGGAAAGCCTGCCTTTTGCCATTATACAAGCGCATGCACCTACTGAAGGCTCATCGCAGGAAGATATTGACACATTCTATGAAGATCTTGCTAAAGCTCACGGCTCTATCTCGACCGATAATATAATCTCCATGGGTGACTTCAACGCTCAAATTGGAAAACCGAAACAGTACGAACACACAGTGTCTGGGCGATACGGACATGGAACCAGAAGCATTCGTGGAGAGAGACTGATTCAGTATGCGTACGAAAATAATCTGAAAGTCATAAACACCATGTTCAATTTGAAGACACACAGGAGATGGACATGGATATCTCCAGACAAAAATACAAAAAATGAAATAGATTACATCATGACAACTAAACCAAAACTCATTTCCAAGTATGAGGTCCTGTCATCGGTCCCTTTCGGTTCAGACCACAGAATGCTACGAGCTACATTAAACTTGAATGCAACAAAAAGAAATAGACGTAATTTTTCCAACCCATCAATCAGGCTGAAAACATTGAAGGAGCAAGATACTTACCTTGTAAATCTGAAAAGTTATATACCTGAACTTATATCGACAAGCACTAACTACAAAGCCAACGAATACTGCCAGAAGATCGAACACTCTATATTAAAAAGCATTAAAAATATAAAAACAAACCAGAAATATAAAATACTATCTGACAAAGCATTAGAACTAATGAAAGAACGAAAAGAATTACAAAACAAACCAAAATTAAACAAGAACGACAAAGAAAAACTGAGAATGCTCTACAAAACTACAAACAAGGAAATAAAGAGATGTTACGATGAATACAGAGTTAATACTATAAAGAGACACATTGACAAGTCAAGATCAGCAAAAAAGGCGTATAAAGAATTAAACAAAACAAAGAACTGGATCACATGTCTTCATTCGTATTCGAAGAAAGCTACTACCCGGATGGATATCATAAATGTTGCTACAGATTTTTATGCGAACCTCTACAGCCAGTCTAATCGTATACATCACAGAAAAATTACCCACCGCATCACGAATACATCCCCAACTCCCGAATTTACTGGATATGAAATCTTAATTCAAATTACAAAGCTCAAGTCTGAAAAAAGCACAGGTCAAGATGGAATCTTAAACGAATATATTAAAATTGCAAGAACCCTGTTATTGAAACCCATAACTATATTATTTAATAAAATATTAGACGAGGAAGCCGTGCCACATTCATGGACGGAATCAGAAATAATCTTGATATATAAAAAAGGAGACCCAATGGATATAGGAAACTATCGTCCAATAAGCCTAATGTCTTGCCTCTATAAACTGTTTGCCTCCTGTCTGCTTGCAAGAATATCCGCGGAGATCGACGCCCATCAGCCGATAGAACAAGCCGGTTTCAGATCAGGCTTTAGCACACATGACCACATTCAAGTTCTAGACCAGGTAATCGAAAAATATGAAGAATTCCGCAGACCTCTATATGTAGCGTTCATTGACTACAAAAAGGCTTTTGACACTATATCGCACGATAGCATCTGGCAAGCTTTAGAGTCAATAAACATTGAAGATAAGTACATAAACATTTTGAAAAACTTATATGTGAAAAGTACAAGTAGAATAAAACTAGACAGAATGGGCACGAGAATTAATATAAACAGAGGCGTGAGACAGGGCGACCCGCTCTCTCCAAAACTATTCATAGCTGTACTACAACATCTAATGAAAAACCTACAATTGTCTAGGAAGGGATTAAACATAAACGGCGAATACCTAAGCCATCTCCGCTTCGCTGACGATATAATTTTACTCTCCGAGAGCTCTGCACAACTGAATAATATGATTAGCGATCTACACGGAGCCAGCATCATGGTCGGTCTTGAAATGAATCTTGCTAAAACGAAAATAATGACAAATCATCACACCGCATCCATCTTCGTAAATAACATCCCTCTAGAGTTTGTAGAGAGTTACGTTTACTTGGGCAAACAAATTTCTTTTAGAAAAGATAGAAACAGGGAGGAAATAGATCGCAGAATATCAATAACATGGAAGAAATACTGGGCACACAAAGAAATACTCAAATCACATCTCAAACCGCCAATAAAGAAAATAGTTATGGATTCAGTGATTTTACCATGTCTTACCTACGGTTCTCAAACTTGGACTTTCGACCAACAAACCAGAAGCAAAATACAAACTACACAAAGAAGAATGGAAAGAAGCTTATTAGGTGTAAAATTAAAGGACAAGATTAAAAATAAGCACATTCGCAACCAAACCAAAGTAACCGACGCTTTAATTTTCTCGCTGAAAATGAAATGGAGATGGGCAGGACACGTAGCCCGCTACGATGACGATAGGTGGACCTTTAGAGTGGTGAACTGGCAAGGCCCTACAGGTCGTAGGGTTAGAGGCCGCCCATGCACTAGATGGACAGATGAACTGGTAAAGGTAGCAGGAGAAAATTGGATACACTTGGCTAGACACAAAGAAAGATGGAAATCCTTGGAGGAGGCTTTTACCCGTAGGGGGTCCATAACAGCCAAGACAAAATAATAACAATAGACAAATTAATTTAATGTAATTGAAATTATTTTAAAAGAATTATATTTATTAATCAGAATGTATGGTAATAGGCTGAATGGAATTAAATAAAGCTTTATTATTATTATTATTATAAGGTACTCTTCTCTCGCCAAGCAAAAATCGCAATAAATCGACCTGAGTAAACTACTTAAATGTCAACCCAAAATCGATCTAAGTGGCGTGCAATGGAAGAGGCCTATGTCCAGCAGTGGACTGCGATAGGCTGATGATGATGATGATGAAACTAAATGTAGAAATAGAAAATTTTAGCTAGATACCTGTGATCCCAAAATAATCCTTATTGCCACATTTAATATTTTTACCATATCTGCGAGCAGGGTTATGCTGTTCAGTAACATCTGAAAAGTAAAATAATCACTGTTGTTTGACAAATAAAATAACATTATGCATACTCGGTTAACAATTACGACGTTACAGAGAGTCAAATATGTTCGGCATGGGTTCTACAAGAACATGTTACATGATAGTAAGGCGTTCCTTTTTTTAATTGGATTTGCGCGGAGCACTGCCGATGCAGTGCCTACGTTATCACAGACGAATTACTTACAGCTAAGCAGTGACCATATTGCGGCTAACACCAAAGAAAATATATTATAAAGAAGGCTTTAACAGTAAACTTACCCTAAATCCATAAATTTTATTAATGAACGTAACTTGCTCAGTTAGCAATAGATAACAGCGTGTAAATGACTTGACTGTTGCAGTGTAGTTTGAGTTAATACGAAGTACAGGAGTGCTTATTTTATTTTTCATATAAAACCATCTCTTGTTGCTTACACAGTCTACTGTCATTACATTTGGACTATTGCCTATCGACGAATAGCAACTCAACATCACATCACAAATTATTTTTAATCTAACTTCAATCTGCATCATGTGAGCCATCAAATCCAGCGTTGTTAGAATTTTTATTAGCATGAACAGATACGATATTGACATATACATTGTAGTATTAAAACCATAGGAAACGTACCACGCTAAGAAATCAAATACAGAGCTGATTGCCCAAATTGTGAAAAAAATTGCCATCCTCTTTAGGAGTTTCATTTTCATGACAGAGAAACATGTCACGTTTAGAATATTATCAATATATTTGTATTGTTCAAAGTATTGCAGACAAATGTGTCTTCCGTACGTGTAAACAAAATATAAATCAACTATATATTGGCCAAAATTGTAACCTATTTGTATGATATCGGTTAATTTTATAGAAAAGTCCATAGAAGGGTAGACATATTTTATTTTGTAATATAGGCAAACGGAATTAAGACATGCAAGTATAAGAGCTGTTATAATGCTTCTTATGAGTGTAAAAATAGAATTACAGTGTTTCTCGTCTATATTGCAATTCAAAGAAAATATTTTTAATATCCAAATTAGAGGCAACATTGAGTTAAATGTTTTTCTATCTCTGTCTTCCATTGTTACGTCACTAATTTTCATGATACGGTTATAATTTATATTATCACTAACACTTTGTTCCGCGACCTCGTCCATGTAAAACAGAAGTATTGTGGTTCGCAGCAAGTAGCTGTACGTTTTATAGTCAATAAATTAAATTCATGGATTGCTATCGTAATATAATTTACTCATAGGTACCGATCCCATGAATACACAATGAGGGTAGGTAATAAATAGTAGTAGATGATTATGTACGACCGATATGGTATGGGTATACCATACCATACGAGTATATTGGTACCGGTATGGTTTCTAACTAAACCCCGTGTATGCCAAGAGGGTATACCTATATCGAAAGATAATTATAGTCATAAGTGGTTATGATTTATTTCTTCAAGGTAAGGTAGAACTCAATGTATCAAGTATAGTGGTTAACGTACCTGTATTATTTTGAAATGGGTGGTTTTAGACAGATTTTCGTTTCGCATCAACGTTTAGTAAGATCATAAATCATCAGGATGCTAATCACACGTTTAGTATTTGCCCTTGAATTGAAAACAACTTTAAATATATAGTGAGTACAAACTTACGCAGATCAACATTCAACTCGTCAGTAAATCGGACAAAGACAGTATCAGGCGAGCTTTAAGATATTATTTGAAATAGAAGCAGAGTCGTGAAGAAATATCGATACTAATATTATAAATGCGAAAGTGTGTAGGTATGTCTGTCTGTATATCTGTCTGTATGTTACTTCTTCACGCTTAAATCGCTAAACCGATTTAGATGAAGTTTGATATAGAGATAGCGCTAGTCCCGGGAAAGGACATAGGGGAGTTTTTATCCTAGAAATCATACTTTAAGGGGGATGAAAAGGGGGTGGAAGTTTGTATGGGAAATCAAGAACCGCTAAACCGATGATTAGATGAAATTTGGTATGGAGATACCTTGATTTTTAAGGAAAGACATATTATGCTACTTTTTGGCGAGATAACCGGCTTTTACCCGAGCGGTGCCGCGGGCAAAAGCTAGACATACTATATAAATACCAATATACCAACATATTCAAAATAAGACCCCCAGCTTTTACATAAAACTAATTGTCAGATGAATATTTAATTATAGAGTATTCAATTGTCCAAAAGCACTTAAGTTAATTATTCGATTATTCATGTACAGGCGTACATTTTAATTAATGAATTATTTTTTATGAAATGGGGCCTGTTCAATCATGAACATAATTGCATCAACACAACACACGGATGGCACACAAGCAAATAGCCATCCATGTGTACTTAGAGTAAGTTTAGTATATAAGATGTATTATTATGTAAATAAATCAGTCATTTTGTCTACTCCGACTTTGACTCATTTAGCCAAAACATCTTTAGTCGTCAGTAGATCGGTCTTGTGAGCCTGCTCGACCGGCAGTGAGAAAATCATTTCCTAAACCCCGCTCCCTTCACGTCTCCGTCTGTTACCCAGTTGCCGATTCGCACCCGTACAGGGCCAGAGACAATTGTATATGTGTATCTGTAACATAAAACTTAATCGTGATTAATAAGTTAATCATACTTCCACTGACTTAATCCAACCCAGCGTGATTGTCCTAAGCATCTGTGGCAGTGTGGTCAAATACGACTGCGGCGGACTATGTTTCCGCTGCGGTCGACCGGGGCACAAGGCGACAGAATGCTTTGCTGCCCCTCACTGCACACTCCGAGCAGTGAGTCACTGCCCGGAGTGTGCGGCGGGTAATATGCCCGCCAATCACCAGATAGGGCAGGGAGGATACAAGCCTCCCCGCGATTCTCGTCAAACATCGGGAGCTAGCCAGTCGACCCAGGCTGCCTCCGACGCCGTACGTGCGTCGTAGTTTTTGCCAATGGAGGAAGTTGTAAAGACGGCCCAGTAATGGTTGGTCCATTACTGGGCCGTCTTTACGTCTCCAACCTCCTTGTCCAGACGAACCTAAACCACTGTGCCGGAGCGCAGAATCTCTTACTGCAAACCATGGCGCAGTGGTCTATCGGTGTAGCTGGTTAGCCGCGGAGGCCCGTTATGTTCCTCCCCGTCCAAACTGCGGTGGTTCATTCTCCGCCCTTGTCGTTAAGTGACAAGCCCAGTGTATATGTTGCTGCCGAGTGAGAGGGGATCAACATATACGGTGTTTATTACGGCCCAACCGGAGTTTGAGCGACTTCGAGGTTTTCTCAACAACTTCGAGACCTCGATCCGGCGACTAGCGTCTGGGCACGTCCTTGTACTGGGGGACTTCAACGCAAAATCCATTGGCTGTCTCCGCAGGCTCCGACTGAGGAGGTTGACATTGGGGCTGGTCGCTTTCGTGATGCGATTACGCAGATTTACGATGCGGCCATGCCTCGCATACGACTACTGGTGGTGTACTGGTGGTCCCAGTAGTTGGCGAACCTTCACGCGGCCTGTACTTCTGCCCGGAGGTCCTACACCCGCAGTCGGTGGCGTCACCGCAGCGACGGTGAGAAGGACCGGCTTCATGAGGAGTACCGAGAGGCGCGGAAAACTCTGAAGCTGGCCATTAGCCGCGCCAAAGAAGTGAAAAGAAAGGTCTCGATCGTGACCCCTGGGGTGGCCCTTATCGCGCGGAGCGACAAAAGCTCCGCTCTTTGGCCCCCTCCCCCCAAACGGAAACTCTCCAGCCCAGCTTTCTGCAGGAAGTGGTTGAGGGCCTATTCCCACAACGGGCGGAGCACACACCCTCGCCGATGGCCACTTTGGCCGGAGACGGTATGGAGAACGTGGATGATGTTCCACCCGTCCGGGATTCGGAACTAGGAGCGGTTTTTCTATGGATCCGTTTCAAGAACACTACCCCTGGGGACTTTTAAGAGGCCGCCCGTCTGGTCACTAGAGGAGTCTCTCTGGTGGTCGGGCACATTGAGGCGCTGGGCTTACGGGTGGCCCTGGATAAGACGAAGGCCCTCTTGTTCTATGGGCCTCCACTGTGGTCGGTTCGGTCCTCGTACCGGTTCAGATCCAGATGAAGCATCTGGACCTGATTGAGCCTCTTCGACAAGCACTTCCAACAGCTTGCTCCAAAGCTGGTCGGCGCTGCTTCTGCCCTAGGGCGACTTTAGCCCAATTTGGTTGAAGCCAGAGTCGCGACAAAACGGCTGTACACGGGGGTTGTCCAGTCAATGGCACTGTACGGTGCACCTGTATGGGCGGTGGCTTTGACCGCCCAGAATATGGCAAGCCTTTGGCGCCCTCAGAGGATATTGGCGGTTAGAGCCATACGCGGTTACCGCACCGTGTCAACACCCCGTGAGATTTGGAGGCGGAAGTGCTCGCCGAAGTTATCGGCGGACGCTCGATGGCTCTTTGGACGTCCCGACTGGAGGGTCTACGAGCTGGCTTTGCCGCCGTGGAGATGCTCCAGCCAGTCATCGTTAAGTGGGCAGGGTTGCAGCACGGGACCCTTTCCTTCTGGCACATGCAGGTCCTTTCCGGGCACGTCTGCTTCAAATAAATGCGGAAAATACCAGCACTCGGTTGCTAGGAGGGAATTGAGTAATAATAGCATTGAAGATGTGCGAAACCCACTTTAGCTCGTTCAGCATGTTTTGCGCAGCATGAAGACTGTTGCAGCTGCCGCGCTACATTCTACCAAGCCTATCAAGCACCTACTTGGCTTGGCACCTTGACCTTGACTTCAAACAGACTAGAAGGGACTATTGCTATTATAATTTTACCTGTTATATTGAGGATACTGATTATAGTTTTTTACTTAGATTTGTAATCATTTTATAAATTTTAGTGCTCTTTGTCAGTATTGTTTCAAGCCGGTTCAACTTTTTTTTTCAAAAGGTTTTATTTTACAATTTTTTGTGTTAGTAATGAGTAGATAAGTACGATATTTAAAACACTACGTTCCGTAGTTTAATAAGTTACTTTATTTGGATAAGTAAGTAATATTTTACATTTGAACCCGAAAATATATTCTTTTCCACATTACTTAATTTTCTAAAACTAGGAGTGGTATTTTTTCTTTAAATTTGAATGGAACTAAAGGGGAAATATACCCTACCAAGGTATAAATTTATTTTTATAATCGGTTTATAAATGAAAGAGTTTTGAGGTAACATACATGAAAATAATTGCGTAACAATCATTTTTTTGTCTAAATGTTTTGTAATCTCATTTATTACTCTCTTGTAACCCCACACAACTACCTATCAAATATCTTGAAATAATAACACAAGGTCAATACAAGTACCTACATGATTAGATTTTTGAAAAAGTTATTTTCTCCTCCTAACTCCTAAAGGTGAAGGATCCGTCCATCATCAGCTCAACAACATGACATAATGACTACTAAACGCAAATACCTATAAAGCTAGAGAAATAAGCTAAAACACGTTGTCGGGGCTGTAAAATTGGAGGGGTTCCCCTTGATTTCTTTGGGATCCCATCATCAGATCCTGATTTGGTGATAATGGGACCACCTCTTGAGCATACCCTTTTGATTACAAAAAGAATTTTGAAAATCAGTTCACAATTGACGGAGATATCGCGTAACAAACAGACAAGAAAAACAGATCCTAAGGATTCTGTGAAACGTATTTATACTAAGAAGAACCAAATGTAGAAATCTCTGCCTCCTGAAATGAGTGGTTTACGTTGAGTTGTACCCTTTTTGTGATTTCCATATATATATCACATTCGGCCAAATTATGAAATAATCTCATCTTTGAGGTAGTATTTTTTATCATTTCTGTAAGCAACTTTGTGCTACAAACATTTTCTAATGAGTTATTATATATCAATTTACACGTGGACAGCTTATAGGTGCAACAAAATTTAACATACATGCACAGAAATATACTGGGTCTACCAATAGGGATGACCTGGTTTTGACAGCTCATAGCGGCCATGTTTGATGATGGATCTTTGACGTCTCTTGACATTTGTGTTCAGTAAGGTTTGCCATTTTATCATGTCACGTTTCACTTTAAACCAACGCTTGGAAATTGTCCAAAATTATTACGCAAATTCGCGTTCTCCTACCGCTACAGTAAGAGCGCTTCGCGCAAAAAACGGTCGTCATAGTTCTCCTTCTGTGCGCGCTATAAATCGCATAATAACAAAATTTGACAGTGAATTCACTCTCCACGATACTGCTGTGCCAGTGAGACAAACAAATGCCCGTAGTGAAGAGAATATCGCAGCCGTTCAGGCCAGTGTTGAGGCGAATTCAAATCGATCAGTTCAACGCCGTTCACAAGAGTTGGGCTCTCTCCAATGACCACGTGGCGTATTTTGCGGTTGGATTTGGGCCTACACTCATACAAAATTGTTTTGGAACAAGAATTGAAGCCATGCGACCATTGTATCCGTCGTGAATTTGCCGATTATGCACTGGAAATGATGGAAGCCGATGACGATTTTCATCGTAAAATCATCTTCTCAGTTGAGGCCTATTTCTGGCTCAATGGATTTGTTAATAAACAAAATTGTCGCTATTGGAGTGAGTGAAATCCACGTTTGGTTCATGAATCACCATTGCATCCGCAAAAAATAACAGTTTGGTGCGGTTTATGGTACGATGGAATCATTGGTCCGTACTTCTTTGAAAGTGACGAAGGAAACCCTGTTACTGTGAATGGCGAGCGCTATAACTCGATGTTAACCGAATATTTCTTTCCGGAATTTGATGAGATTGATGCAGACGACTTTTATTTTCAACAAGACGGTGCACCACCTCACATTACTCGAGTGAACATGGGGTTATTGCGTGGAAAGTTTGGTGACTCGTTAATTTCGAGAAATGGACCGATCAGTTGGCCACCAAGATCGTGTGATTTAACACCTTTAGACTATTTTCTTTGGGGTTACGTTAAATCTAAAGTGTACAGCAATAATCCAGCTACAAATCGTGACCTAAAAACCAACATTCGACGAGCCATAGCCGACATACCGGCCGAAATGGTGCACCGCGTCATCGAAAATTGGCATGAGCGGGTGACCGTCTGCAAAAAGAGCCGCGGCGGTCATTTGACCGAAATATTATTTAAAACATAAATTGCATAAAATTATCTATCAAATACATCAATCGGATGCATTTTTCATAAAAAATTGTGTGTTTTATTCCATTTTTAAACCAGGATTGTTACCAGGATGTTTATTGGTAGACCCCTTATATACATTTTTTAATACATATCAAATAGACATTGATCAGTATAACTTTTTTTCAAAAATCAATAAATTGAAATTAAAATAAATATCAATAATTCAGAATTCGGATCATTAAACCATTTTATCGTTCAATGTCCCAAAACGGTCCCATCACTATGGTTTAGTGCATTCACACAAGTTTGAAAATATCACATCACAGCTCATGTGACACCTCCCCCGCAACCCTTGCATACCGCCAAGTTTAGTGAACTCAAATCGGAAAAAATATTCGAAATGCGGAATGTTTTATTCCATTTACAGTGTCTTACAGGCAGCTGTACCTCGTGTTCTGTCTATGCTTAAATCTATGAATCTCTATGAACAGAAGTGTAATATTAATAACTTAAATAACTAACTTTTTTTAATGGCAACTAACTGTTGCCATTAAAAGAAGTTAGTTCCGTTTGTTTTCCCTGGTATGTAGTTTTTTTTTAATTTGTCATTTTTTTTTGTACATTAAAACAAAGAATAGAGAGTTTAATGTTTTAAATATTAAGACCATTTGTTTTTGTTCGCTTTTGCCATATCTTCAGATGGCACATTTGGCAACACCAGCCTATCGTAGTCCTGACAAGTCTGTCAACTCCTGTCTGAAATTATGAACTTCAGTTTATGGCATAGATAAAACACTATAAATCCAAGAATTTATGGTCTATATTTAAGCTGTCTAGCTAGATTTGGCAGAGTTTTTGGCGTAGAGATAAGAAGTTTTGCCACGAACAAAAAAAAAAAGAAGTTGATGAATAACATTTCAATGAATTGTACTTACACGTACATAACTACAAGAAAATATATGTTGTAGACATTTCTTAGATGGTTTCAACGTAGTCGAGTATATCTTAGGTAAATAATTCGTTAGTCAAAAATGGGTCAACCGAATACCAATACTAAAAGTAATCTCGTGTTGTTGTTTACAATGTTTTTAATTATATCTGAAAAATAGATCTTTCGTTCGATTCTGATAGTTTTTATTATGGACAATGGTCCATAACTGACGAACTTTTGATGTATATTAGTTAAATGTTATGCTCTATTTTTTATATTGTTTTACATTTGTGTTTGAGCAGTTGTTATAATAAGTTTTAATGTCTGTTACAGTTTCATAATGGGAGGCTGTCGCTGCACGTACAAGAATTGTTCACTAAAATCAGATGGAGTTACACATATGTTTCATTATCCTGTATTTGACAAAGTTCGATGTCACCAATGGCTTACTAATGCACAGAAATTAGAGTTCCTGAACTTAAAGGTGTCTCAATTGAAAAACAGAGTTGTTTGTCAACATCATTTTAATGATGACAACTTTATGAATTTTCTGGTAACTATCGTTGTACTTTTAGTTTATAACCCATAGGTTCATTAAGATTTTATTCATTACCTTTCATTGTTAATAGGGTTTTCAACCTGAGGTAGACAGGCAATGTTTCGTACATGCACAGCTGTAATTTTACTTTGGTGTTTTCTGATTAAAGTGAAGATACTACACCATTTTTGGCAGAATTCGTTTTATGAATATAAATAGTGTTAAAGCCCTAAAAGACAATTTCTGGCTACAGGGATGCCCTTTTGTAATACATCAAACTATTTAGCTTAAATGCAATGGTCTATAGCTATATGTACATAATTATTCAGTTCTTATAACGGTTGATGGTTAATTAGTGGTCTCTCATTAGATATTTTATGTAGCTCTGTATAGATATATATAAAAGTAAGATAAAGCAGTATAATATTATATCTTGTCATGGTGTTTGTGGTCACACTGCTCCGTAACGGCTCCAAAGTTTAATTTTTTTTATATTTGGTAGGTATAAATAGTTTGTAAAGTATTTTTACCCTCCTATCCGAGACCCCCAAGACCCCGACGCATTTGGCTCAGGTCAGCTACTTTTAATAATAAGTCTCTTAATTCAGAGATGTCTCCATATAGAATTGTTTTAAATTTATTTGGTTTGTTCACTCTACGGTTGTCCTTGACCACAAGCCTATTTAAAATTTCCAGTCGAATCTATGATATGTCAGTGGAGTGTGTAGTATTATCATTATTAAGTCTATTAAATTGGTAGCCTTCCCCCAATTTCATTTGTTCTCTTTGGTACCAAATGGTAACAAATTATCAATTCTGTTAGTTATATTTTCTAGTTAAGTCCTTTCTGTTTTATCTTCGTTTCTATTTAAAGCAGTATTATGCAGCTAATAAAATTGGCGTCATTATCACACTGGCCATCTATTTTACTCAAATTTTATTAAATTCCATTCGATCACATCTTTCATACAAAACATATTTTCCCCTTTTTATTAATTTTATTGCAGTTATAATGTACCAGTGACTTTTTAATTTTTCAGAAAGATAAGCTTATATTCAATGCAGTACCTACTCTTGATGGACCATATTGTGATTCTAGTAAATTAATCAATCAAAAACGTGAACAAGATGTCTCAAAACTGTATAGTATATCACTTGAAGATATTGAAAATGAATATTTAACATTCAATGACAAAAAAGCTAACTTTTCTATGAAGTATGGAGATTTTTTAACTAATTGTGACTTGATGGATTTAGATTCAATGAATGCAGCTAATGATAACACACAAATAACAATGAAAGTTGAATGTCAGGCAGAACCCAACAAGATTATTTTGAATGATGAAATTGAATGTCAAAGAGTTCCACCTGTTAATCCTAATTACAATAAAGGTGTGTCGTTTCCAGCCAACGACAATAATGTTATTAGAGTTCAAGTGACTGAAGTGCCTGTTCAGTATGAAACTAAAGTGCAAGGAAATGTAAACATTCCTAATGAAAATATGTTGCAATCTCATGGTCCACAAAATAACATTAAATTAATAACACATAGCCCTAAAACGGTCTTGACGAAGAACAGCAAAGCAAGTAAGAAAATTACAATTATAGATCAAAAGGAAATCTTAGACCCTACTGAAGTACCATTACCAAAGTCAATTAAATTGGAGCCAATATGTCCGTCTGCAATCTTAACACTTTCAAATAAAAGAAAAAGGGTAAATTTAAATTCACAACTAAAGGACAACCAAGGTAAACTTTCTGGTCCTGATTTAGAAGAAAGTACTAATATGGTGGGTCAAGTTATTGAAATCGAAAATAATGTTAATGCTGTGCAGACAGTGAATGTTCCTGAAAAGTTGATTCTTATCCAAAATGATGTGCATAGTGAAATTAGTCCTATAAGCAAAACATTAAGCAAAGTTAAACAAAATGTTGTCAAAGCAAATAAAATTCCTTTACAGAATTCTCAAGTACTCAGTACAAGTAATGTTAAACATATGGTTAAGGATAAAAAGAACAATCAATCATTGTTAAAAAGTAAAATACCTCCAGAAAGAATGGCTGCTATTGAAGAGAAGAGAAAATTTAACATGAAACTGAGAGATATAATTGCATCTTGTTTAGATAAACTAGATGATGAGGAAACTAATGATTATAATAGTAGTAAAGTAAAAGCTCAAATAGAAAATAATATAACACAAAAAGTTAGTTCCTATCTGTCTAAAGATCCAGAACTACCCAGTATGCAAGATTATACTGTTGCCTATTTAGAAGCTAGAATGAAAAAAATGGAGGATATCTTATTACATAAAATAGACCAAAATTCTCGAAGAATAGTGGAATTACAAAAATCACTAGCACTTTCTGTTGATAAAAAAGTTGTACATACCCAAACTACCGCAAATGAAGAACTTCAGAAGAAGCACCTGTATCAAGAAATATCGAAATTCTTAAGTCCACAGGCAAATAGTTTATTGTATGAAGAACTTTTCATAAACAAATATGCACAGAAAATTCAAGATCATTCACCAACAAAAAGACGCAAAAATCGGTGATGAATAAATAATACATTGCATAATGTTTGTTTATAGTGTATGTCTTTATAAACTTAAAAATACAAAATTCCCTCGTGTATAATCATTTTACTTTAACTATTGCTTTACCAATGTTTTCTCCTTTGAACAACCCAATGAATGCATCAGAGGCTGATTCGAAACCTGCTGTAATATGTTCCTTGTATTTCAATTTTCCTTCTTTTAACCATTGTAAGTTTTGGATCACTCCTTCCACTGTGCGGTCGGCATATCGGTTGACTAAGAACCCTTCAATTTTTATTTGCTTTCCGACTACGAATGGCTGTAGCACTGTTGCTGGATAACAGAAAAAAACGTATATTAAACGAACGAAATTAAACTACTTGTAATAATAATAACACTTACATCAGTCGGAATTTCTTCACACATTTCGAAATAAACAAGTTTTCTATACATTTACAATACCGCACAATAATTAAAAACAATGAAACTAATGAAATGGATCCTTTTTAACCGACTTCAAAAAAGGAGGAGGTTCTATGTTCCACTATGTATTGTTTTTTTTTTAAAATCATCAATCATCATCAACAGCCTATACTAGTCCACTGCTGGACATAGGCCAGAATATATTATTATATATATTTTTGTATATTATTTTTTATTAAAATAATATACAAGAACGTTTAAAATAAATAATATACATAGATATATGTTGATAGTAAGACATGACGTTTAACGTCATGTCAAAATACAAATAAATATTGATAATGAAAGAAATTCGACTGAAAAATGCTAGCACGAGCTAGATCAGAGCACTGGCAACATCCCCGGACTCGTCGCTCCGCTCCGTCTTGCCGTCCCCGGAAACTACAACAGAAGTTCCGGCCGTGGCTGAGACGTTGAGCTCGACTTCAAGCGACGAGTTTTTCTCTCCGCCGACGTCGCCAACACCTGTACGTCGGCAGAGGAGAGGCCGGCCACCGACCAGCTTGGGATACCGAGGACTACTGACCTCGAACAGGGTCCCCGCTACCGGTGGTGATATGCGCCGCATGAAGTGGACAAAGTCTATCAATGAAAATGTCAATATTATCGGGCTACAGAGGTGGGAACGAACTTTACTACGTACCGTGTTCGACTAGTCTCTTTGTTTCAGGAGCTTGAACCAGCTGTCAACGTATCAGCACAACGATTGTCGGATCAAGTACGAGCTATACAGCGCTGTCATCTGCTGGATGATGCAGTACTTGAGAGGATACGCTCTGACACACGGAATAGCTTAATTATCCCTTCTTCGTCAGACACTGTGGATTCGGTAGCCAACAGCACACCTCAGTTGGCATCATATACTGATGATATTGATGAACTAGTGGAAAGTGAAGTTATATCCGTAAGTACCCAATACAATAATAGGATAAGGAGCGCTTTGGAGGATGCGATTCTGGAATACTGATATTTAAATTGCAATGATAGGCCCCGGTTATTCCGTTTGCCCATTCATAAACGAAATTTAGCGCTGGTGGGTGCCCTGGATTCGTTATTGCCTGAATATTTAGATAATAGCGAAGACCTTAGTGATACACATTCTATTCTATACTGTGCGGCTATTGCAGTTTGTCGAGTAGCTGGTGTTAAAATAGCTGTCAATGTTACTACTACTCGACCTAAATCTACTGTACCAGCTGGGCAGTATAGAATTGAATGTCGTATTGCTGAGACCAGGACACTTATCGCTAAGCTTATTAGCTACCGATCAGGGAATACGCGGCCAAGAGTGATGCGCTTTGTGAAACAGGCATTCTTGGGGACTACCATTACTCCTCAGCAGTACATGTCATGTGTCACAGAGCGTATAGACTTTCTAAAACAGAAAATTTATGCATGGGCAAATAGGATAAGACGGTATAAAAAACGAATAGATCGGTATAATCAGAATCGGATGTTCCAAAGAAATGAGAAGTGGGTGTACCGGAAATGGGAGGAACCGGATCCATTCGTAGGTGATAGGCATTTGCCAGATGAAAATGTCACAAATACATTTTGGCGTAACATCTGGTCGGTGCCTGTCACTCATATAGAAGGTGATTGGTTGCAGGATGTCAGATGCTCATGTGAGTCTATAACACCTATGGAACCTGTTATAATTGATAAAGATGATGTAAGTTGTGCAGTTCGTTCATTACCGAATTGGAAATCACCTGGTCCAGACGGACTGCACAACTTTTGGCGTAAGTGGTTCCGAAACATGCGCGTTTGGCATCTCAATTCCAGGCAGCTTTGGATTCGGGTTCATTACCCCAATTTTTAACCACTGGCATAACCCACTTACTCTATAAGTCTGGTAGTGTCATGGATCCCAAAAATTTTAGACCTATCACATGTTTGCCTACCATGTATAAACTTCTAACATCAATTCTGAGACTCAAAATTACTTTACATATTAATAATAATTCGATTATGTCAGTTTCTCAGAATGGATGTAGAAGTGGGACCCGTGGCACTAAAGACCTCCTTATCATAGACATGACCATTAGCCAACAGGTAGGTCGTAATCGTAAGAGTTTGGCGACGTGTTGGATAGATTATAAGAAGGCATATGACTCGGTTCCACACACATGGCTTTTGAAGGTGCTGGAGTTGTATAAAATTGATACAACTCATGTATGGGGCAATGGAGAACAGCACTCCGCTATCCAGGATGTCGGCAGACGGCGATACACGAGTACTAATAAAGATCGAGCGGGGTATATTTCAAGGTGATAGTCTGAGTCCCTTGTGGTTTTGTCTGGCTTTGAACCCTCTTAGCACTTTATTAGAGGGTTCAGGGTTAGGCTATAGGTTGCAGAAAGATGATCAAGTTATATCTCACCTTCTTTATATGGATGATTTGAAACTGTTAGCCTCTAACAAATTACAATTGACAAAGTTACTAAAGGTGACGGAAAACTTTATTAATTCTATCAAAATGGAATTTGGTGTAGACAAGTCTGCAGTCATGTATGTAAAGAAGAGTATGATATTTGAATCTGAAGGAATAGAACTTTCAGATTCAATAAAACTCAGATCTCTGTATGCCACTGAAACTTACAAGTATCTGGGTATATCACAGTCGTTGGGAATACCAGAATCCAACATGAAACAAACATTGCAGGAACGCTTTTTTAGCCGCTTGAAAAAAATACTTAAAAGTCTTTTATCAGGGGGCAACAAGGTGCGAGCCTGCAATGGTTGGGTCATGCCGGGTTTTATAGGGACTAATCCCACCCACACGCCCACCACTGTAACTCCTGTACACCAGGATCCACAGCAGTGACCCACGAACACACCGAGTTATGACACTCGGGAAGTCCCAGGAAGAAATTAAACTGTCTTGGAACCCGCAACGAAATTAATCAGAAGAAAATTGGAGGAGTTGGAAATACAGTAAATCCACTTCCCTCCTTAGCAAAGCGGGAGACAAAAAGAAGTAAAATGGGCATACACCCTTTTAAACAGGGAAGCACCACGGCCACAAATATTACGGGTCCTACGTGAGCTATGTTTGATTTCTATAATATGTATGGCAGAATCGCCTAAACGCACGGAAATTCACCCTAGTTGACACAAGATCCCCATAGTATACCGCCCCAGATGTCACCTGCAAGCTATTCAGCATTATATTACGTTCATTATACCAAAGACTACATTCCCAGAGGATATGATGAGCAGACTGTTCATAGTGAGAGTTAGGTGTTGAGCATTGACACAACGGTGACTCGACTAATTTAAATGAATAAAGCTTGCTCTTAAAGTTACCATGACCCGTAAGAAATTGAGCGACACAGTGATCCACCTCAAGCCATATCCTCGACAACCGTTCGCGAACAGACGGAAAGAATTGGTAAAGATTGGATGATTCATCCCAGCGTTGTTGCCATTCGTCTATGAGGTCATTATAGACATCGGGCTGCTGTTGAAGCAATCTTGTAATTTTACCGCGATCCCGCGCGCCCAAAAAGTCGCATTCCATGTTTTGTTGTCTTGAATAGTACATGGCTGCACGTCTCTGCACCTCGAGATCGACCGGAAGCACACCCGCCAACACCGGCAAAGCCTCAGTGCTAACCGTCCTATATGCCTTACACAAGAATATCAGTGCAAGTCGTTGGCCTTGTAACAGTTTGCGACGGACAGCGCCTACGGTCGCCCTATCGGCCCATACAGGTGCACCATAGCACATAGAACCTAAATAAGTAGCTCCGTATATGATCTTTAATGTATTAAATGATAGACCCCATGTCGCAGTTGATATCCTTGTCAATGCACAGAAACTCTTTTTAGACTTTTCATTAACTATTTTAATGTGTTCGATAAATGAAAAGTTTCTTTCCAAAACTAATCCTAGATAACACACTGTAGTTTTATTTTTTACAGTAACATTGTCAAATCTAATGCTCGGTGGTGATTTGAGGTTCACCTTTTAAAAGTAGCTGGAAGGTTTTGTTGGGTGCAAAAGTTAAGCGATTACGTTCACCCCATTGAGATATCAAGTTCAAACATCTATTGGCTAATCTCTCAAGCCCCGCCCTAGTATCAGATTCCACCAGTAATAAGCCGTCATCAGCATACGCGTTCAGAGTACATCCGGATGGTATTGGTATCGCAAGAAAATCGTCGAAGCCGATATTCCACAAGTATGGACCTAGCACCGATCCCTGAGGACATCCCATTGTAAGCGCCTTCGACACAGAATGATGACCAAGTCTTAGTTTAGTTGTACCTTGTGAAAAGTACGAAGAGATAAGGGAATAAATATTTTTAAAGCACCCCCGTGATTTTAATTTCAGCAACAGCATGGGCCACCATGCGTTGTCGAAGGCGCCAGATATATCTAAGAAAATAGCCAGCACGTATTGAAATTTTGACTCTGTGACAAACTTTCTAACCGATATAACAGCGTCAGTTGTCGATTTACCCAACGTAAATCCAAATTGTCTATCATGAAATTTGACTCCACCTGGCAGAAGCCGGGGCACTACAAGACGTTCTAAAAGCTTTCCTAACGATGGTAATAATGTGATTGGTCGGTAGGATTTAGGATCATCCGGTGGCTTGTCGCCACTTTTTGGTATTATACGAATATTACCGCACCGCCATATACGAGGAAATATTCCTTCAGCAATGCAACGTTTAAAGACAGTGAAGATCGTGTCACCCGAAAGTTTACAAGCTTCTTTTATCATTTTGTTAGATATTTTATCATCGCCCGAAGCCTTGTTTAGCGGCAAGGATCTAATGATACCGAGAAATTCGTCTGAAGATGGTAAATCAGACATTGGAGACAGTGGTGGTTCGATGGCCCACTGCCTGATCTGTCGGTGATGATCAGTGTCGTTTTCCGGTCGATCGTCAGGTACGAGTGAGTCTAAAAGATATTCTGCTGTTTGTTCTACTCCTGTGGTATATCTGTTATTAATTTTGATGTTCTGTATGTATGCAAGGTCGATTGATCTATTTGCCTTAAATTCGTGATACAAAGATGACCACGGGCCCTCTCTATCGAGTTTATCAACAAGTTTCTGAATTAAGTTTCCCTTGGATTTTTCCACAGCAGCTCTGTAGTGGGACCTGGCAACTCTAAGAGCAATGAGAGCATTGTTGTACAAATCTCCTGTTACGTTATGTTTTTTAATAGTGTTTAATTTTCTACGAGCTTTCCGGTAGCTTCTACGTAGTTCGGCTAATCTATCATTCCACCAATCACATCTACGAGTGTTAGTGATAGATCCGCGACCAATAGTTACATCAGCGCAGTATGTAAAAGTTTCTGATAGTATTTCTGCGCTTTCCTCAGCTGATAAACTACTGCGACTGAAGTCTTTGGTATGAGTTGCAAAGAGTGAACCAAACAAAGCCCAGTTCGCACCTTTAGTTTTATATCTAAAATTATAGGGAGCCCTTTGTGGATCCTGTGCAACCCTTGGTATGAATTCGTACACGATCAAGCGGTGATCACTACAGGATGCGTCCGGAAGGACACGCCATCCGGATATCGAGACGTCGCCGCGCGTAAGCGTCACGTCAATAGAAGACTCACCCATTGGGTTGCAAAAAGTTGGTGGTGCATCGGGGGTATTGCGAATAATGCCGGGTTCTGATGTATTCCTTTGGTATACTAAAATGGACTCAGACCGAATTAGATGCCCTTGACAGGAAAGTCCGTACACTGCTGACTGCATCCCGAATGCACCACCCACGTTCATCAGTTATGAGATTGTATATCCCGCGAAAGCTTGGGGGTCGCGGACTATTAAATATCAAGACCCTACATAATCGCGAGATATGCAATCTCAGAGAATATTTTCTACATACCGACGTGGGAGTGCATCGCAATGTAGTTGCAGTGGATACCGGCTTCACCCCGCTCGCTCTGGCTAAAGAGAATTGGCGCAGACCTGTAGTACTTAGTGTTAATGATCGCAGGGAAGTATGGAAGGGCAAAGAGCTCCATGGTCGGTTTTATCGGGCCCTAAACGGGTCTGATATAGATTTAAAAGCATCTACGACTTGGCTACGGTATGGTGATCTCTTCGGAGAAACTGAAGGTTTTGTTTGTGCGATTATGGACGAAGTTATCATGACGAATAACTATCGGAAATATATCCTGAAAGATGGTACGGTTGACATCTGTCGGGCATGCCACCGTCCTGGCGAATCAATCAGGCATATTATTTCTGGTTGTTCTCGTCTTGCTAACGGAGAATATTTGCACAGGCACAACCAAGTAGCCAGGATCGTACACCAACAGCTTGCCCTTAAATACCATCTTGTGAATCTAGAGGTGCCATACTACAGGTATGTGCCCGACCCAGTTCTCGAGAATGGTCGGGCCACGTTGTATTGGGATCGATCTATTATCACAGACAGGACTATTGTTGCCAATAAGCCTGATATTGTGCTGATAGATCGATTAGAGCGCCGCGCAATGATTGTTGATATCGCCGTTCCTCATGACGAGAATCTCGTGAAAGTTGAAAAAGAAAAACAAATTAAATATTTGGATTTATCTCACGAGATTGTCGATATGTGGAATGTTGATTCAGTGATCATTGTTCCGATAGTCGTATCTGCTCACGGATTGATAGCCAAGAGCCTCGACCAACACTTTAAGAGGCTCACGTTGGACGGCTGGATCAAGGGTCTGATGCAGAAGGCAGTCCTCCTTGACACGGCTCGTATAGTGAGGAGGTTCCTATCTTTGGAGTCCTAACCACCGGTGTCTTGGTCCCTGTACCCGATGTCGGTGGTCTACTATTTTTTATATTTTTAAATGTATTTTTTTATAATTTTTTATAAAGTGTATGTTTAAAAATGTAAATAATATGTATATAAAGTAAATAAAGAGAATAATAATATTGTACCACATTCACACAACACAACAATAAATGTTAAGTTTGTACTTACCCTTTCGTTTTTCAGGGTCAGTTTCATTATATGTGGAAATAGCACCACAGACAGCTACTCTACCATATTCGTTCATTTGTGATATTACAGTACTACTAATTTCGCCTCCAACATTGTCGAAATAGCAATCTACACCGTTCGGAGCATTTTCTTTAAGAAAATCCTTTAAATTGGTTGTTTTATAGTTAGCAGCACAATCGAACCCTAATTCTTTCACCAAGAAGTTGGTTTTCTCGTCAGTGCCAGCAAATCCAATTACGCGACATCCTGTAAATAGATGTTGGTTCAGAAGCACTCCTCACAGTTTCTTAGCTTTTATTAAGCTTATCTTTATAGAGTTTCATTATATAGTATTTTTTAATGATTGTCGTGAGTCGATAATGAATAAACCAGAGCAGTGGTTTTTAGCAATCGATTAAAACATTTACTTATAAGTTTATTCGAAGTAATATGATACGTTTGCCGCTGAACAAGTAATTTATACCTTATGGGTAAATTATTGCTATATTACAGTTAATTCAAATAACCAACATATGAGTTTGTTACACGGCTTCACGGGAAACCGGAAACCTCCCCCTCTCACCTTCCTAATTCTGACGGCCGCTCTCAAAGGCCAGCAATGCAGGCCCATGGGCTAGGCATAGTCACTTTCCATCACGTCGCCCGTTTGCTCGTTTGAGCCCAATATTATAATAAAATTTAAAGAAACGTACCGAATATCTTAGCAATTTGTCCAACTTGACAACCAACAGCTCCTGCAGCGCCAGAAATTACTACGGTCTCGCCTGGCTTAGGTTGACAGATCTGTGTGAAGCCAAAGTAAGCAGTGTTCCTGTGAGCATAGATGTGATAACGGTAAAACAGTAGGTACCTAACTAGAATATAATGTTCTTTGAGTGATCTCAAGACTAAGGTTTTGCCTTGATATCAGTAAGGGTGTAAGCAAAATAAGAATTAAAAATAATAAGAAACTTAAAATCAGTAAGAAATATAAGCTTTCAGTCAGTGTTAACTACATGAGGACAGTTTAACAATTTATTTTAACCATAAAAACTACCCTATTATGGAAAAATAAAAATCACTTACCCAACCCTACCACACATTCCAACTGCTAAAGAAATGGGCAAATCGCCAAAATCAGGCAACTTGTACATATAAGGTTTTTGCTTACAGAACTTCTCATTATCTGGTTTAGTGATCGTGTGAGTTCTCCAACCGAAATGTCCCATCACCCACGACCCAACAGGATATTCTGAATTTTTGCTCTCTATTATCCTGGAAAAATAATTCAAATATAGGTATTTAGTTTTCGCGTTAGTGTACCTGGATATATGTAGTATAATTTATAACCAGTTATAAAACACACGTGAATTGTGATGAGAGGCGGTGCCCTATAGGGAACAAAAGGCTTGTGTCCATTAAGAATTAATATAATGGATAGGGGTTTATAATGATTAATTATATTATGGAGAAAATAACAAACAATTTTAATTATTAAAAGCGTTAAAGATTAATAATATTTTTAAAAAATAAATTTCGTAAAATGAAACCTTTAGTCACGTGACAGTGAACACCAATCAGAAAGCGTTACGTCACGCCGTGCGAAACTCCAATCTTGTCTTTGACGTTTCGAGTATCACTACCGGTTCTTGATAAAATTTTGGTTTTTAACAATTAATATCAAGTTGATACAGTTTTTGCTAATTATAATTTGAAAGAATTAACCATGGAATCTGGATTGGAGAACAACTTGGAGTACAACTTTCTTTTGATTCATTCAGACACTCTTCTATTATCATCTTTCTTTGTTTTTTTAGAATATATGGCCGTTCTGTACTGCTGCATGTTCGTTTTCTTCTGTCTTCTTGACATCCAAATTTACTTGGCATACAACCTGGTTTCATGCGCACTTGTGATACTGTTCCCTTCATATGATACTCCATATAATTAATCATATAATTTGGCAACTAGAATAATAAAAAGAGTATGTTTGTAACATTATTTAGAAAACTAAAATAAAACGTTCACTCCTAAAAGTGAAACAACTTAACCTGAACTCATGTATTTATTATTTAGAAAATAGGGATTCTACAAAACACATCTAGTTTGCTCGAATTAAGTTATAGATTGTATTGTGTGAAATACTTATATCAAAATGATCTTCACAAAAATACATTCTTGAACCTGTTGATAAAGTATGAGCATCATCTCTTCTTGCAAGTTTTAGCCACTTTTTCCGTATTTCTCCATTGTTTGGAACATATATAAATAACTTGTTTGGCGTTTTTATAGTCGTGCTATCACACTTGGGCACTATACAGTACTTATAATACGACACTACTTATAATATGACACAACATACAGTACTTATAATATGACTATACAGTACTTATAAATTCATTTTTAAACGATAAAAACTAGCTATAACGTACGAAGACACGATCGCTATTTGGTTTGTTTCGCACGGCGTGACGTCATTCAAGACGCCATGACAGTCTTGTGCGTTTTGGAACCAAATTGAAATTGGTTTTTTAAACGCGAAATTTATAATGTAAACGCTCGATTAAAAATAAATAAACCTTTTTTTTCGATAAAATGCCTAATAAGCTAAAATATTAAGCAGTTATTGAAATTTTGTCAACTAGCCTAATGGTGTCAGTCGCAGCTGTGATTTATGTGTAGGTGTAGTGTCAGCAGCATTTAAAGTTTAATTTAAAGGCACGTAAGGTTTGTGTATCTCCAGAAAGGTCTGGACGTCTTAATAAAAGTTGCTATCGGATCCCTCCTATTCCACGGGCAGTTTACACACCGTGTGGTTTTAGTCGGTTCGATTCCGATACACCGCCCAACCCCAAACCGAGGGGGTTCCACTAGCAAAAAATAAAAATAAAAAGTTGCTGTAAAGTAATGACAACTAGGAGTTATCACTATCACACATTTAGTAACATCAACTAGTAGTTATCAATAATATAGTATGGAAGATACGAGATGCGGGGGACGTCAATGAGATGTTTGCCTAGGGCGCTCTTGATACTAATCCGCCTCTGTGTACCTCGTTTTCACCTTAGTGGTATAAAACATGGTTGTTATTATGGTTACTATTATACACAAACTTTGCAACTTGGCCGCCAATCATATCGCAAGGATAGTTTTCGCCGAGCTTCATTCGCTGGTATGGATCTACGCTTATGTATGCGGCTTCAGCTAAAAATTCTGAAACAATAGTTTTAAAGCAATTGTGAGACGGTTTACTGCGAGAAATCAGATTATACTCTATGGTCATAGGTAAGTCTTGTCAAATTTTTATTCTGTAGGTACAAATATGTCAAATATGGAGTGTCTAGTCTACATAGTCTACACTACACATCATAATGTCAAATATGCAATATTTATTCGTGCCAAATCTAATGTCAAATTGTCAAATCCATACAAGTCAGCAATAACATATTAATGATGTTAGTCCTGTCCTGTATTATTTATACACCTTTAAATTTAAGTAAATAATCTGAATATAACTGTAATCTCATCTTGCCATTTGCAACTGTAATCTGTAGCTTATTATTAGGTAGGTATAATGATAACAGATAATGACGTTAACATTCTTATAATCTTTTACCATTATCTTGCAGAGCAGGTAATTCTTCCTCAATTATCTTAAAATCACTTTTTTTAGGTTCTCCAACAAAAGAATTGAGTACGATGTATTTTTTTGATACAACCATCATGAAAATAGGCAAAGCAAAAATAATTACGTATTATGAAGTTGTCTCACAAGAATACAACCTAATCTAGGTATGTGTTAAATTTTATTGATAGTGTAACAATGATGATACCAGCGAAAAAAACTTGTTTTCTTTATATTATACCAGATGAAATAAAGTTGTTCATATCTCCTCAACGTTTTTATTACACATTTGAGAATTAACTATTTAACATAATGAAATATGTTTGCAACACGTTGCCAGTGGTACAGAAAAGGACTTTAGTGATATTTCTGCCTTAAAGTACTTACTATTCTCAAAGGATAGCTCCTAAAATCCGCGATTCCTCATGTGATTGTGATTTCATCATAGACAAAAATAATGCCATTATAATCAATCAAAATTCGTTTTACCAAAGATTATGCCCTTTTTACTTAGATTTGACCTTTGACCTTTCGAGTCTGCGCTGTTTAAGTTAGTTACAGGTGTGATTATATGATTTATCACATCTAGTCAGCGTGACAGCTAAAATGTATACGTATTTAACCTATATATTTCAGTTGTATTTACTTGTTTTACATAATTTTTAACTTTATAGCCCATAACAATTAAAAGTTTTAGCCTGCCGCATTGGAATTTAGTTTGGATGAGATTTTTTTTTCGAAATCTTTACATAGTATAAAATAAAGTCGCTGTTTTGTTTTACGCCTAGATCTTTTAAAGCAACGGATTTTAATGCGATTTTCTCCAATAGAGAGAGCAATTTAAGAGGAAGGAAGGTTTATATGTATAATACATACATACTCGTATTATAGCAGAGATAATGCGAGAATTTTAAAAGATTTAAAAACATTGCAAACGCTGGCTAATCCTTACGAGAAAGACCAAAATATTGTACTACAGAATTGTAAAGATGATACAATACGAACATTAAAAGTCACTACACTTTCTCATAAATAATATTAGTAAATTTACCATTTTGAAACAGTAATTTTCGATATAGTTAAAGATATTGAAAGTCTCCAAATACTAAATAAAAGGTTTGAAAGGTTTGATTAAAAAAACAGTGTAATAGGCTTAGAAATCAAAGATAAAATATAAAGGGGTTTTAGTTGTATACATATACGACTCAGGCGGAATAAGTCCGAAAATTTTTAACGAATAAATCCAACTTGAGCGGTTAAAAGGTTAAATATTACAAAAAAAAAAACGGGTTATTTACGAAGCTATTTTAAACAAAACATTATTATTCCTTATCTAATTAAATACGTTGTGCATCTTATGTAGATTAAAATTGCTTTTTAGATTGCTTTTTACAGCATATCATTTAACTGAATATTTTAGGAGATATTATAAATAAGCCTTTATTGCTGTTAGATTTTAACCTCCTCTAAGGATTTCCATTTGTTTCTATCCTTTGCTGTACGTAACCATTCTGGCCCGGCTACTTGCTTCAAATCGTCTTCCCATTGCTTTGGTTGTCTTCCTCTACTTCTTCTGCTTTCTCTAGGGTACCATTCGGTAATTATTATGGTCCATTTCTCTTTCTTTTCTCGCAGCATATGTCCTGTCCAACGCCATTTTAATTTTCTGCATACTGATTTGACTTTTGTAAACTTAGTCTTTCCTTTGATCTTTTTAATTGTAGTTTTTATCCCTTCTTCTTACTCCCAATACGCTTCTCTCTTTCCCATTCTGAAATATATTTAATTTATTTTGTTGTTGTTCAGTTAAGGGCCAAGTTTGGCACCCATATGTTAGGCATGGCAGTATGCAAGCATTGAAGACTTTTCGTTTCTCCGCCATAGGCATTTCTTTATTTTTCATTACTTCGCTCAACGACCAGAATCTCTTCCAAGTGTTCGCAATTCTTCTTTCTGCATGCTCTCTGTCGTTGATACTAATTGTCCCAAATAAATGTATTCATTTACATATTCTAATTGCTGATTATTAACTAAAATAACATTTTTTTGTGAGGAATTGCTCATTACTTTTGTCTTTGTTATATTCATTGTGAGCCCGGCGTTTGCACTTTCGTCTGATAATTGCTGTAGCATTTTTTCCAAGATCATCGGGCATTCGGCGAAAAGTATTAAATCGTCAGCGAGTCTCAAATGACTGAATTTTTCTCCGTTCACGTTAAGCCCGAAATTATCCCAATCCAGTCTCCTAAAGATCAACTCCAACACAGCTGAGAATATATTCGGCGAGATAGGGTCTCCTTGATGGACGCCTCTTTCTATCGGGAACTCTTCACCTGATCTTTCCAGTTTTATTTGTGCTGTGCTTTTCCCATAAATCACTTTTAGTATGCGTATGTTCTTTTTATGGACCCCTTGTTGTTCTAATGATTCCCATATATAGTGGTGTTCCAGGGAATCAAATGCCTTGTTGAAGTCTACGAAACCCAAATAATATATTTTGTTGTATTCTCTGTATTTCTGAAGTATCTGGCGTAGGACGTGTATGTAGTCAATGGTCGAGAAGTTGCTCCTAAATCCAGCTTGCTCCATCGGTTGGTTTTCATCAAGGGTTTTAGTTAATCTAAACAATATTATTTTAAAAAATACTTTATATATATTAGACATTAAGCTTATTGGCCTGTAATTGTTAATATCTCCTTTGTCTCCTTTTTTGTGTAACAAAACTATCACTGACTTCATCCAATCGTCTGGGAAAACTTCTGTTTTGACTATTTCGTTGAACAAATTGGTCAGTTCAGAACAAATTCTAAAAGAGAGTCCCTAACTCTCTTTTAGAATTTGTGGTATAGGTTCAGTATCTTGCATGTCGTCTATCATAATCGTTGCAAGTTCGTTACTTTTACTTTTGTACAGCTCCTTATAATATGCCGTAGCAGTAAGTACTTCTTCCTGGTTTATCCTTAATATTTGGCATCCAATTCTTTTTCGATTCTAATTCTTTGAGCGCTTTCTTTACTCCGCTTGTTTTCTTAATATGATATTGAAGAGTATTTGCCATTTTTTTGCTTTACATTACGTATTTTGTATTAAAAAAAAACAAAATCAAAAAAATCAAAATTTTCCTTGAAAACGCTGAATAGTGTCATAGCGTCTTGAATGACGTCACAGTATGCGAAACAAAACTGTTTACATCTATGTCCAGTGTCAACTGAAACTGTTTTAAGGTGAGAAAATATGCTGCGAGACCGAAGAGAGCTGCTGCCGGTTCTAAAATGTAAATGGTTGCTATGTGGTTTGCTCTTAGATACATTGAATGTAATGTTACACTGTCTGGATGAATTTCACGCGAGAATCAGTCCAAATTTATTTTCCTTACTAACATTTTATGGTTTCGAATATGGTAATCATCAAATAATTCTGTTCAACATCATTAAACCAGCCGAACACATTTATTTTGTTGATCTACCTTTATTTAAAAAATCTCAAAACAAAAGTATCTGTCAAGTGTCAAAGAAAGTCAAATTGCGTTCCAGGCCGCATATTTTTCTGCAACACTATTGTTTGTCATTGATTAGTTGTAAGTTTGAAACAAAGTCTTTTGAACGGGAAGTTCGCCCAGAAAATTGTGACACATTTTTGCTTCTTTTTGTTTTTGTTTTCTTTTCTTTTTATGATTACTTTTATTTAGTTAATATCTTCCAGTAATTTCTAAATGTAAAACACACGACTGGCGGGTGGATCATAAAATTATTTTTTATTACTACTATGTATTCATATATTATTATTATTTATTGAACATTATTGCTCTATTAGTTTACTTATATATTCTTGAGTCAACTGACTTGGACAATAATGATGATGACAGTTTTTACTCGATAAACAGTCTTGATTCTAGTTTTAGGAAATGATAAATGATATTTATTTCTGTAAGTAAATCTTTTCAGATATTTTTACAAGTCGGACTTTATAGCTAGAAGGAGCCGGCATTTCTTAAGACTCACTCTGGGAAGAAACGCCGAAACAAACCACAGAGGTGTCTTTTTTTTTAAGTCCGTAAACAAAGTTAAATAAAACTGTGCGAGTACAGCATAGGTCTGGATAGGCCTTTTGAGGATAGGACCATAGTTTTGAGTCAGCCTGTCCATAAAGACGGCATACAGGCTCCAGCCATCGTGTAGCCTAACCGATATTGGTCAAGATCAAATCAAGTCAAGAACACTATACTCACATTTACATACTTACACAAAAAATAAAAAAATACTATACAATTCAAAGTCAACGAAAAATAAAATACGAAAACAAAATACGAAATACACCAAAAAAAGTAATAATTAAATGTCCATCACTTTCAAACTTAACAACAAAGATGTCTACGTAAATGTGGGAGTGAGCAGTATCAATCCCAAGCAAATTTGTCGTCTAAATAGTCTGTAATAGTGTAGTAAGCCTTTTCACATAGTTTTAGCTTTACTAAAGACTTAAATTTGTTAATACTTAATTCATGGAATTTGCTTGGCACTTTATTGTAAAATCGCACACCCTGACAACGAAAAGACTTGCTTACTTTTTGTAGTCTAGTGGTTGGTAACACGAGTTTATCTTTATTTCTAGTGTTTATTTTATGCGTGTCGCTAAACTTTGTGAATAAATGATTATTTTTCTTTACATACACTAAATTTTCATATATGTATTGAGATGCGACTGTCATGATACCAATTTCTTTAAACTTATCCCTCAGTGACTGCCTATAACTGAGATTATAAATTACACGAATAGCTCTCTTTTGCAACACAAAGATACTTTGAATGTCAGCAGCATTTCCCCACAACAAAATACCGTATGACATTACACTATGAAAATAGCTAAAATACACCAGTCTAACTGTTTCTACATCGGTTAATTGACGAATTTTGTAAACCGCGTATGCTGCAGAGCTGAGTCTATTCGACAATCCGTCAATGTGTGGGCCCCATTGCAATTTAGTGTCTAGTGTTATGCCTAAAAATTTGGTGGTGTCCACAAGATCCAACTCCTTTCCATTTATTAGAACATTGGTCTTTACCTGCGTAACATTAGGTGTAAAAAATCTAATACATT